TAGCATTTTTTTGACTAGTTGCAAAACTCTAGTGCTTAACAGCACACACTGCATTTCTGATCTAATCCCTACTTACATACACCAGGATGTTCCTGAGAGATTTAGGACAAAGTTGATTTTCCTCTCTTCTGTCAATGCCCTGAGTGTCCTTCGCCTACACTGGACACGACACACAATATCTGAAGCATAAGTACATTTTCTCAGCATTTCCCTTGGCTATATCTAATTCCTTACATGTGGAAAGACTAGTTTTGTATATAATCACTGTTTATTTCCTTAGTACATTTTCTATCTCCTGCAAGTGTGCTGCCAAATGTTTAAAAGCTTTCTACTTTGAAGCACAAGGCAATAGGAAAAGATGGGAGATATACAAAAAGGGAGAAATACTTCTTTTAAACAAAAGCTGAATGTGTTTTAACTCAAACTGAGTTTTTGAATTATACCAAAGCCAGTGTGCAAAACCACACTGACAAAAACATTTAAAGCACTGGAAATATCAAGTTAATGAATCAAAACAGCAGAGCAAAATGTACCTAGAAAAAGCATTCTGCAATGTGGTCTCCAACATACCAAAATTGCAAAATAATATATTAAAGTAGTTATATTTTAGAAATTCTTCCTGACCCTTTATTTAACCCCAATGAACTATTCCATTGTATCTTTTGTATTTAAAGAATATTTAAGAAAAAAAAAGGAAGATGGTGGAATAGATAAATGCTGTGCTCACCTCCCCCCAATGACCACATCAAAACTAAACTATAGAACAACCATTATTGAGAATCACCTGAAGCCTAGCTGAACAGAAGTCCTATAACTAAGGATATATAGAAGAAGCCACATCAAGGTTAGTAGGAGGGGCAGAGATGTGGAATAAAAGGCATATCTCAGCTGTGGAGGTTCCCCCGGAGGAGTGAGGGGTCCCAGCTCCAAACCAGGCTCCCCAGCTCAGGGTTCCAGGGTGGGGAAAAGAAGTCCCCAAAACTTCTGGCTGTGAAAAACAGTGGAGATTGTGGCTGAGTGAGACTGAGGATGGCTGGAGTCCTGGGCATTCCTCTTAAAGGGCCTGTGCAAGGCCTTACTTGCTGACAGGCTCACTTACTCTGAGCTCCAGCTCTGGGGCAGCAGCTCGAAAGGTTCCAAGGATATACAGGAGGAACTGAACAGAATTGTCTGCCTTCAGAGTGAGGGCTGGAGGGGCAGCTTTCTCTCAGACAGAAGTGCTGGCAGAAACCATTGCTCCTTTGTTGAGCCGTCTCCCCACCAAAACTGCACCCAAAGGTGGGCACCATATCTGAGTCTCCATCAACCTGGCTAACACTGTTAGGCCTGCCTTGCTGATTCCCTGAGGCCCAGCCCCACCCAACTTGCGGGCCCACACTAGCCACTTCCAGTGGCTTTTCCATACAAAGACCTGTCTTGGCTCATGCTGCAGACTTTGCTAAAATCTCTCAAAGGTTCACAAATCTGAAACAAGCAGCATCTGGCCTCGGCATACCCATACCTCTTGTTAAGCAGCCCCAAGCCTGGAACTAGCAGCAGCTGGCCTCTCTCAGGCATCTCCAAGCCCAGCACAAGTGGTAACCATCTGCAGTTCACTTTGTAGGTCATACTAAGTGGCCCTGGGAAGGGCACAGGCAGCGGTTGACCTTAGCCTGCACCAGAGGTGACCCCTCCCAAGAGGCCCCAAAACCAACACACCTGGTGACCACCTTCAGACCACACCAGAGCACCATCCAACCACCTCCACACCTAACACACCCAAAGGGCAGACTTGGCAGGCTCCAGCATCCTGTTAAAGTGAATTCTGCTCCGTAGGGTCAGCACCTGCACAACAGCTCCTCCACTGTAGTCACAGCAAGTCCTCACAATCAATCAGCCTGAGGGTCAATCCTTCCCACTGATGTGCCAACAGCAATCAAGGCTCAACTTCTAAAGGAGGGCACACACGAGAAACACAAGGAACACACCTGGAGTATCCAGCTCAGGTGACCAGGCAGACTGCACCACTGGGCCCCAGGAAACCCACTACATAGGGCCTCTCTACCAAGATCAGGAAACATAGCAGCTCTACTTAATACATAGAAACAAACACAGGGAGGGAGCCAAAATGAGGAGACAAAGAAACATGTCCCAAATGAAGAACAGAACAAAACTTCAGAAAGAGGGATAAACAAAATGAAAACAAGCAATCTGCCAGACACAGAGTTCAAACCACTGGTTATAAGGATGCTCAACAATCTCAGTGAGAACTTCAACAAGGAGATAGGAAACATAAAAATGGAAACAGCAAACACAAAAAAGAACCAGTCTGAAATTAAGAATATAATAATTTAAATAAAGACTACATTAGAGAGAATCAACAGTAGATAAGATGAAGCAGAGAATCAAATCAGTGATTTGGAAGATAAGGTAGCAGAAAACACTCAATCGGAACAGTAAAAAAAAAAATCCAAAAACATGAGGACAGTTTAAGGGGCCTCTGGGACAACATCAAACATATCAACATTCACATCACAGAGGTACCAGAAGGAGAAGAGAGAGAGGAATTGAAAACCTGTTTAAAGAAATAATAATGGAAAACTTCCCTAATCTGGAGAAGGAAATAGACATACAAGCCCATGAGGCACAGAGAGTCCCAAACAAGATAAACCCAAAGAGGTCCACACTGAGACACATCATAATTAAAATGCCGAAGTTTAAAGACAAAGTGAGAAATGTAAAAGCAGCAAGAGACAAGCAGTTAGTTATTTATAAGGGAGCTCCCATAAGACTGTCAGCACAAAAAGCAAGTACCTACAACCATGATTACTCTATCCAGCAAAGCCATCATTTAGAATCAAAGGACAGATAAAGAACTTCCCAGACAAGAAAAAACTAAAGGAGTTCATCACCAAACCAGTATTACAAGATATGTTAAAGAGACTTCTGGAAGAAGGAGGAGGGAGAGGAGGAGGAAGAGGAAGAGACAAAAAAGAAAAAAAATATGAATAATAAAATGGTGGTAACTACATAGCTATCAACAATTACTTTAAATGTAAATGGATTAAATGCTTCAATCAAAAGACATAGAGTGGCTGAATGCATAAGAAAACAAGGCCACTACATATGCTGCCTAGAACAGACTCACTTCAGATCAAAATATACAGAGACTGGAAGTATAGGAATGAAAAAAGATATTTCATAAAAATGAAAATGAAAAAGAAAAAATAACAATACTTATACCAGACAAAATAGACTTTAAAACAAAGGATATAACAAGAGACAAAGAAGGATCCAGCAATTGCACTTCTGAGTATTTATCCGAAGAAATCCAAAACACTAATTTGAAAAGACATGTGCATCCATATATTCATTGCAGCATTATTTACAATAGCCAAGATTTGGAAGCAACCTACGTGTCCATCAATAGATGTATGGATAACAAAGTGGTACATGTATACAATGGACTATTACTGGGCCATAAAAAAAGAATGAAATCTTGCCATCTGCAACAACATGGATGGGCCTAGAGGGTATTTTGCTAAGTAAAATAAATAAGACAGAAAAAGACAAATACCATATGATTTCACTTATGTGGAATCTAAAAAATAAACAAACAAACAAACCAGAAACAAACTCATAGATACAGACAACATTTTGATGGTTGCCAGATGGGAGGAGTTTGGGAGTGAGTGAAAAAAAAAGAAGGGATTAAGAAGTACAAATTGGTAGTTACAAAATAAGTCATGGGGATGTAAAGTATAGCATAAGGAATATAGTCAATAATATGGTAATAACTATGTTTGGTGTCAGGTGGGTAGATTTATTGGAATGATCAATTCATAAGTTATATAACTATCTAATCACTATGTTGATACCTGAAACTAATATAGTATTGTATGTCAACTGTAATTGAAAAATAAAACATAATTTTAAAATATTGGAAATGATGCAACAAAGAATTATTTCATTCTCTCACATATGCTAACAAAAAAATGAGAATGTTATGGCAGTGATTATAAAGAATTATCCACCACTAAGAATCATCATCTTTTAGATTAATAATAAATCAACTTTCAGGCAGTATCAGAATTATTACTCTTTAATTCAGAGAAGCTGAATACCTTCAAAACTTCCTGTTGCTGAAAAATTATCCTACTGACAAACTAAGACTATACATCAACCATGGAAATAAATCTGTGCACAGTTCTGAAGATCTCTATACTGCTACTTATTTTACGTTTCTGAAACATTTTGCTGTCGGTGATTTATTTCACATCCATGTGGCCAGCCATTTGTTTATTCTATTGCATGCCATCTGTTTTTGGTAGAGAGGTTTCAAGTTCTTCTTATTCCCTACCTCATAACCCACAGAAAACAATTTATAATAGACATAGATTTAAATCATTTGGATTCACGTGGAGTTGGTAACTCAAGCTGCCTTTCATTTATATTTGGCAAATGCTTTAATGGGATTAGCAAATTGTGTTATTACGGGTACTTATGGAGACACAACACCTTTTTTACAACGACAAATGATGTTAACAGTTTCATTTTGGGTGTTTAACAGAGGTACAGGTTTCACTAATGTTGTAGGGAATTGCCCTGATAGACAATCAAGTTCTACCACAAACCCTGTCCATATCTTTTATTTTTGAAGAGTCAACAAGTATGTGTACCTAGATGTGGTAGGGTCTACAGTAAGGAATAAATATCAAGCTGCTTCACTTTTAAGGGAAAGTTATCATTTAACCCACAGACCTGAAAACCCTGTCTGGTTCTGACACCTTGCTGGTATCTTGTAAGCCCCTAACCATGGTCTAGCTTGTCTAGCTACTCACAAGTGATGGTAGTCCCCAGACTTCCCCCAAAGAAAAGTGTATGCCACAAATTCCAGCTCATCAGCACCAATTTATTCCCATTCTAGGGCCCACTTTGATTCGCTCTGTAGAAGAGCCAAACCATTCAGAGACACAGCTTCTTGTTGAAACTATACAGATGATGCTTAAAGTGTTAATTACCATTTTTACAAGAATCCTCGCTGCTTTGGTGGAGAGGGGGTGTCTGATGACAGGACTCAGCAGCTGTCCACAGTTCATGGTTGACTCCCAATGGCTGAGAAACATCCGTCTTGAGGTCTACTTGATTTTCACTAGTCCTTACCAAATCAGAATTAGATATATTGAGAGGGTAAGTGGCGTCCTGATGGATACCCGATGGCGTCGGCTTGTTGCAAGTGTTAAATGACATTTGTGCTAAAGCTTCATTGATGAAGAATGAATCCTCGTAACATAAACTCTCAGATCGATTAAGTTCCATCACCTGTGTAAGAAAATACAGGAAAAAAAAATACAACAATTTCTCTAGGTGTTTGTACCAGTTTCATAAAGCATTTATTCCTAATAGAATTTAGCAATCAAGATTTTAATAAGCGTGAAGTCAAGAGGACTGTTTCCCTTGACTCTGTCCTCTCATCCCCTTTTAATGAGCTAGTACCAAAAGCTTCAATTCACTATGCACAGCGTATCTTAAAAAAAGGCAAAACAAACAAACAAAAAATACAAGCAGTAGTTTGTTCTCTGCCATTAAAGTGTTTCCACTTTAAGAGACAGCATTTTATTTAGCTTTGGCTAAATAAAAAAGTTTTGAAAACATATTTATGTATTGGCAATAAATGTGATTTAGTCAACTTGAAAGACAGGTCAACATAGCTCTTTCTTATAAGCAAGCTTATCAATTTTTACAACTTTATGCCCTATCGATAAAAACCAGATATGTGCGCAGAAAAGTAAACTCCTGGGACTAATGGAATGATTGTCACGCATGGTTAGAGAGGGTGCAGATGGAACACAGACTCTTCTGAAAGGTTTCATTCTGCCCAGTCATTAATTAGTATACTCATGTTAACTATTAGTGAAAGGGATCTTGAATTTACTATGTCAAATTTACAAAAAGAGAATACGCTTTTAGAATAACAGAATAGTATTACACTTGTTAAATTCTGTACCTATAATGTATCAATATATTAATAGCTAATTGATCTACTAAAAGGTACACCTATGCAGAACTCTGAAGACTAGACCACAAAAGGAGGGCCCTCCAGCTACAGGAAAGACAGCGTGCTCATGGCGACTGTTCCTCCAGGACAAACCTCATCTTACTGGGACAAGTCAATTCTGTGTTCTCCGACTACAATGAGCCCATGATCCAACAGGACGTGGGCCTTTCCAATTTCCATATTTCAAATCAAGATGCATACGCATTGTCTCCGCAAGTTCCCAGCTTCTGCTACCTACATATTGAGTAACTCCTGTGAGTTCTTACACAAGAAGCCACAGAAGCGACCATGACTAAACCTGTCTTCGAGGTGCTACTAGCTGCTTTCCACACTGCTTTGGCAAGCACAGGAGATCCGTACCTCCGTGCTTCCTGGAGAAAACGCTGCGGGAAGGCTACTCTGCCGGCTGTGTTTCCAGCGGCACAGCAGGCTCTGCTGGGCCCGCATCCTCTCCCTCTCCCTCTCCACCAGGCGCTGGCCCTCCCTCAGCCGCTCCAGGTTCTGCTGGTACTCCTGCAGCTGCTGGTCCAGCTCCCCACGGTTCCGGAGCAGCAGTTCCTCCTGGGACTGGCACTCCCTCTCGCGCTCCTGCAGCCAGCTCTCCTTGGCCTCCTGCTCCTTCTGCTGCTGGTCACACCTGCGGTGCCAGCGCCGCTGGTCCTGCTGGAACTGGTGTTGGAGCTTGTGGATGTTGAGCAGCTCCTCACGCCGTTTCTCCAGGTGGCGGTACTTCTCCTGGTCCTGAAAGGGGCTGCCTCGGAAAGTGGCGCCAGGGGACAGGCTCTCCTGCTGTTGGAGAACCAGCTTATGGATCTCGATGTGGCTATCCTGAATGGTCAAGGCAGCCTGTCGGAGCAGAGAGGGGAAAAGTCAAGGCTTCCATAGTATTTGCACTGTGGGGTGGAACTACCTCTCCATACAAAAAGCATGACAGAATTGTTAACTCTTAATATTGTTGTCGTTTCTTTCTAAGTGACCTCCAAAGACCGAACTTGGCACTTCAAATAGGCTTGTCTACATTTTCCTAGTGGTATGGCCTGGGAATTTGTACACAAAAGAAATACAGCAGAAAAGCAATACTCAGCCTCCTCTTTTGGAAATGGGGTTTGTTGCTGGGTTTTGGATAATATTGAAGCAAATCTTCTGATAAGAATTCAGTACACAAATTCGCAAGACTCTGCATTCCTGTTCTATGTCTCATTCTCTTTCAGAATTTATGAGAATTTAAGAATCTATATAAACCTGATAGCATCCTTTGAGTCTCAAACCAGAAATTACTTAAGCTACATTAGCTATATGAAGACATAAAAAGAAAAGTCAACCACTTGCAGACTTTCCGCAAATAATCTTTTTATAGTATAATTGCCCAAGAATAATGGTTAATATCATATTTAGTATATGTAACTGGTAAAGCTAGACTCGTTACTGTTATTTCTTTGTATTATAGCAGGAAGGTCATGCATAAAACACTACACTGAAATTCATTGTTTAATACATTGCTAACAGGAGGCTGGAATGATTAAGGGAACACAGATACTCTAAAGCCCAGAGGACATTACCAACCAGATTAAAAAAACATTTTGAGTTACGGTATCTGCCTATGAAAAGTTTGGCAGCATCACAGGAAATAATTGCCAAGATTTGGAAGGATTCCACAAAACAAAAAATAATCCCTGTGAATGCCCTTGGAAACTTTTAATTTTGAAAGTTCCCATTTAAAGCACAAAAAGGACAGAAGGGACAAATTGAAAATGGCCACATACTGGGTATGTGTGTGTGTTTTGACTCATTATGAGAAATTATTACTCTCCTAGGGATAAATTCACATTTCTCTTTCCTAAGAATTTTTAAAACTGTCGGTGTAACACATGCTGGGAAGATGGGGATTTCACCATTAGTTCTTTGTTAGATCAGCAGTTTCCTATATTTTGAAGGTTAAAGAACTAAGGTATTTAAATTGGTACTTGTCTTGGAATAAGACTCAAAAATGTATTCACTGGGGCCCTTTTAAACAAAATTCATGTTTTTTAAAATGAAAAAATAAAATTTTAATTTCAAATTAATATAAATATTTGATTAATGTCTTTTAGATATTATTATAAAGAGAACAATGATCACTGATAATAGGTACTAATTGCTTTGATCTTTAAATATGAAATAATAAGCCATTCAGGACTCTGGGGACCTGGCTAGAGCAAATTGCTCATACCTCACCACTTAATTCTAGCAAATCTTAAGGGCATCAATATAGTAAAACAAACAAAAATCCAATATTTTATATGTCAAAACTACCATAGGCAGTGATACCTCTCATGTAAGGGTTATAATTAAACTAAGTGCTACTATGAAGTATTCTTCATATCTACCTAACATTTGGGATGAGACCATTCTTTTCTGTAATACAGAGGTGGAATTTGAAAATTGGATAGTATTCATTTTCACACTTAAAAGTTTACATGGATATTTACATGGACAGAGAACAGCACTTACTTTTGATGTTTAGTGCAATTCCCAGTTCACTCTCTCTTAACTTTTCTTTGCTGGAATAACTCTGTGTCCTTTCTTTTCTGCCTTGTCTATATCTCATCTCTAATTCTGCTCTCCTAAATAGGGATCAAATTTCATTTTCATCTGATTCAAAAATGCTTATGTAAAAACTTCAATCATGCATAAGAGATTCAGCTTCAAAAGAGATGACTGTGCCATGAACAGAAATCTCTCAGAGCCTGTATCCTTAGATCATCTCAAAAGCTTTGGTTAAAAGAATCCACTACAGAATTTGATATTTCCCATGTTGCTTCAACCTAATGAGTTGCAAAAATTAGGTCATTTAGGTCACCTGGCTTTTCTGAACCTTGAATCCACATAGGCTTGCATTCAAGGTTGAAAAGAAGTGATACGGCCTCGTGAGTGTTTTCATCAGGCAATACATGCTGCGATACTCAGTGTTTTCATCTCCCAAAAGTTAATGTACTATCCTCAAACTATATCCCTTAGTTATTATTTAAAGAAAAAAATATTTACTTTACATAATAAATTCAGTCGCTAAGATTATCTACCCCAGACCAGCATCATCTAATGTAAGATACTAAAGGAATTCCCACTAAATTTTGAATATGACAAGGATGCTTATATCAACACTGTTATTTAATACATTTGCAGAATTTCTAGCCAAAGTAAGAAAATAAAATCTATTTAATTATTGAACAATAACCATACCAGTATTTTCAAATTTTTACTTTCTACCTAGAATACTCCAAAGGATTAAAAGAAAAGCTATTAAAAAATAAACTTCAATTAGTTGGCCTGTTACAAAATAAACATAAAAATCAATACCTTTATTATTAGCAACCACCATAGGAGAAACTAATTTTTAAAATTTCATTCAGTAAAACATAAAATAAGAGATGACCAACAACATCTTCTCAGACAAGAGGACTAATTATTGCAAAAGTGCCAGTTCTCCCCAACTTAATTCACAAATATGAGATTTTAATTTAAGTCTTGGTAGAAAGGTAAGAAACTTGTCAATAATTCAAAAGCTCTTATGAAAGAACATGCAGAGAAATGTAGTAAGGGGAGACTGGTACTGTCATATATCCAGATGTAATCCAAAACTTTAATAGTTAAGATAGTGAGTGGTACTAGAGCAAGAACAGGCAGATGATCAATAGAACATAAGAGAAAGGCATCTTGATACAGTCAAAGTATAAATAAGAAAATGTCAAATGTAGCATGACTTTATATTTTTTTCTGGTGAAAACTTAAAGCCAGGCTTTATTTTCTCTTAATATTCAGCAGGTATGAGATACGAAATATGACTAGCTAATAAACCAGTAGGAAAAAAAGTTTAATCTCAACAGTAATTTAAGAAGTGTAAGTTAAGATAATCAGATACCTTGACCAATTTTTAAATTGAGAAGTAGAGAGGAACATTGATTGATTATTTTGGCAACGTCTACTAAAAACAACAGAAAAGTAATGCTGATAATTGATTCTAAGGAAACTCTCAGATATGTTCAAAGAGATGAGTGTACAAAGATGTCACTCGAGTTTTATTAATATAAAAGTATGAACTATGAGGAAGTGGATAAATTCCACAGACTGGAATATTATGTAACCATTAAAAGTTGTGCTACAGAATAATCACTGATGACACAGAAAGGTACATGTTGCAAGAGTATATATAAAATGATTCTAAAAAAACAAGAAAAATATACACCAACATGCCAATGATAATTCTCTCTATAGAATCACAAGGGCCAGACAAGTGGTGCTTTGGTTAAGAGCTGGCTTGGGACGCCAGAGGGCCCCAGTTCGGATCCCACATGTGAGGGCCAGTGACACTGCCCTCTACAGCTAAGATGCTGAACAACAGCTCAACCTGGAGCTGGGCTGCCGTGAGTCGCCGGCGATGGTGTAGGCTGCAGCCCCTGCTGCAGTGGGCTGCCATGGGCTACCGCCAGCAGCCAGCGTGAGCGGCCAGCAGCCACTGTGAGCGGCCATCCAGAAGCCGGCGACTGATCTGCCTCGCCCGGGAAGAGCGCAATGATGGTGCCAACTTGGGCAGTGAAGCAACAACGTCCTCCACAACTAGACTGAAGAACAAAACAAAAGCAACTTGTCTGTTCCCCTTCCCTGATTCCCCAGCACTGTTCCCATCACCCCAATTCCCCAATAAAAATCTTAAAAGAAAAACCTAAAAAAAAAAAATCACAAGTCATTTTATTTTATTTATGTGTATCCTCAAATTTTTCTACAATACAACCATTCATTGCTTTGATATGATTTAAAAATATTCCTTCATCTACAAATCAAACGAGTAGATGTAGTCAGTCTTTCTTATGCATGGCCTAAGGGATCATACAAACCTATAATCCCAAATCAAGCATGATGCTTCTGCTTCTCTTTCCTTGACAGACAGCAAGCCATTTGACGGCAGGCTTTGCGGTTCTTTGGCCTCGTGGGCTCTGCCCTCTGCATAGTGTCCAGCACAGAGGGTGCACTCAATGAATGCTGGGTGGATGAACAAACAAAAGAATGAAGGAGCATATGAATTATTTGACTGCTCGACAGGCCCAAGGCCAACATGTGGAAGGGAAAAAAGTTTAGGCGTGAATTTAAGTTTTCACCAGAAAATGTGAAGTCATGCTACACTCACCTAAGAGTTTCATTGTAAACTTCAGGCCAGATCATATTCGTCAATATTTTTTAAAGATATGAACTGTTTTATGGTTTCAGAGAAGAATGGTATAAAATGTAGTAGTGGTGTTGCCGCGTGATTACAAAACCAGGTGAAGTTCAACGTATCTAGCTGAGTTACAGTTGGGGGTTGGCATTCTTTTAAGATCATTCACTACCTCACAGATGTTCTAATTTTTAAAGTCTGGGAATCATCAAATAAAGTGAAATGCATTAAGAGAAACAAGGTAAAAAATTAGAGGAGTGCAGTTACCTGAAGGCTATATAAGAGACGGGTTAAATTCTGTATCGCTTGTATAATCTGAAAAATAAGATCCTAAGTGTCAAATTCTTGAAAAACCATTCATCATCATCCACAAATAAAGAGAGGACGGTGGTATATTTAAGGTATGCATAACTCACCTCCGACTGTGAAGAACCTGGAAAACTTCTATAATCCACCTAAAATACATAAAAACATAAGAAAATGAATCACCACTCCACTTTTGAAAAGCTGCACTGTAGTGTTCCCAAAGAGATGACCTCGGGTAAATCACTTCACTCTCTCTGAACTCTTCTCTAGTGACTCTGTCTCCTCTCAGAAAGCAAAGCCTGTAGAATTAAACGACTTGAGGAAAGCCTTCTCTGCAAACTTGGTATTTGAGATGCATGGCAACTTTTCACCCAACCAGCCCTTAAAACAACAAGGGGTGACGGTAAGGAAGTGCTGCACACTCCCAGTAAGTGACAATATTTACCTTGCACAAGCCACGCTGTAAATTGAGCTCTCTGTGCCAAGGTTGAAGTTGTCTCCCAGGCCAGGCTGGCCCCTTGCATCGTGGAGGCCAGATTTGGAAACTAGAGAGCATCATGCCTGGTCTCTTATGCTCTCTCTCTCACAATGTTTGAGATTCACAAAGCCAAAATAGCAAGTGGTGGGAAGAAGAAACCAGACCCACAGGTGGCCCAAAAAGAGCATTTAGTGGACCTGCTCCAGATCCTACCTCTGAGTTCCCTGGACCCTCCGTGATTGCCTTAATAGAAGCAATGTCAGCAGAGGACATGAATGAGGCCAGAAGGGACCATCTGCTCCTGGGGTTGGGGTCTCTGCCTCATTCTTCGCCTCACTACCTACACATTAAGGGCATCTGCGGATAGTGAGGGTTTCCAGTTTCCAGAGTTGAACTGACCACTTGTCTATTCCTTTATCCTCTGTCTTCTCTCACTAGGATGTAAGCCAACGAATAGCAGGATTCCTTCTGTGTTTACTGCTATATCTGCCAACCTAAGAACAATGCCTGGCATGAAATGGACACTCACTTCATTCTATAAATAAATATCAGGCGCCCATTATATACTCCACACCTTTTGCCTATAGTCTCCCGTTGCTCTTGTCTGAGCAGCTTTAGATTGAAACCACAGAAGCAGTCAGCTGTTAATGCTCAGGTAGCTTTGGACTAGCTTGTTAAATTCAATTAGTTCCAGCTGATGATGCCTTGATGCGCTAGCCAGATCTCTTCCCCCATATTGCCCATTAAAGATTTCATGACTAACCGGCACCTCTAATAGGACAAAGGATGGAAAATGAATTAAAGTTTAGTCATTAGATCTGTGCCCAACCCTCCGGATGATAATGGGGGCTAAGAGCCCCCATTCTGTAGTGAGTTTTGGAATTCTCTCTGCATTTCGGACTCTGTCCTTGCTCCACACTCCATGGTTTTTGTAATAAAAAGATAGTATAATATACAAATTTTATATTCTATAAAAGTTAGAAACATAGAAATGAGTTGCGTTATGCTACATGTGGTTACTTTTTTCCAAGAACCACCAGGTTTGAGACAAGGCAGGAATTTTGAATGTCATCTGTTTAGTGGAGCCGTTCTGCCACCTTGTGGTAAATGTGCATAGCTGCAGCTGGTGACTTACACAGGATATTTTGCCATTTGGGTTAAAAATATAATTTTTAAAAGATCTTTCAGAAATACTTTTTTTAAAAAAAACACACCTTACCTTATTAAGGAATATAATTACAAAATATCAATTATACAGTTCTTTAAAAGTTTGATTTCAAATGATCCTGCCCTTTATCAGTTCATTGCGTTTCTAAAAATGCCTTATGAATGGCAAAATTTTCCAGATAGTTTCATCCAAAGAGGAATCTGGACACTCAGTCTCACTTACCTAGGACTGAATCACGGAAGGGAAAGATTTTCGGGGTGGGAGCTACCACAGCTTGCCATTCAAGAGACAACGATGACTAACCAACTCCTCTGTCCTACCTCCCTCTAATAATATGAAAGCCATTGGAAGCTACAGATTTAAGTGAAGTCTGCACTGCAGAGGATTGAAAGCAGAAACAGCTTAAAGAGAAATAAGTTAGAAAGCTTACAGTCAGAATAGGTGGAGTAAAATACTGCATTCCTATTTTTATTTTGGCCTATGAAGTTTTAAACACTCAATCACAGCCATCTTTTTCTATGAATTAAAAAAAAAATCTTTAGATTTTGTTTCACAGTCATTTGTACATGTATACAAAAATATATACTACAAAAATATATAAAACGTTACATACCTAAAGATCTGACATATGTAATTTTTCTACATTAACCCACGTTTGTATTTGGTAATGTACCTAAACTGATTTTAGATAAAGATAAATTCTTGAGCCCAGATGATCTTGGAGAGGCCCACTAGCCACCTGCCAGAATCATATTCTTATTCCCTATTTCTGACATCTCAGTTTTATTGAAGTTAATAGGAAGCTTCATGCATTTAATTTTTAAAAGTGTTATAACCTACATGTATAGCACGTCAAAAAAGAAGAGGTCCCAAGCAAAAAAAGAAAGAAAGAAGCAAGCAATAGTCCAAAGTCAAAATTATTTATGCCACTTTAGCGCCACCTGGTGGCATAAAGGTCCCGACGCCCAGGACCCCCCCCCCCCTTGGCCAAGAGGGAAAGCTAGAGGCTTCAGCACAGAAAGTGACAGTGAGACCAGAAGACAGCGCAGACACACAAATAAACATTTGAGTTTTAAATCTTTTTAATAACTTTTCAGTTGTTTCTTTGTTTACACCTACATGACGATATAACAAGAGCAAGAACATTTTAAGGAGAAATAAATAAGAAAGTTTAAATATGAATATTAAAATTGAGAACAATTCAGGAAAAACACTTTTATACCCCTCTTGGCTATGGACAGACCAGGACCTGAGGTTATTTTATTACACAAAGTAACTGGCGCCATTTACTAACAAATCAGTTCACAATACCTTCTCCCCTGCATCAGAGACTGCCAAGTCGGCTCCCATACCCTGGGTCCCGGGATCCACATCCCAACAGCCTCTTCCTCCTGTCCCTTCTGTGACTAGTGCTGGAAGCACACCATTGAGACAGAAACAAAAAGGACATCATCAAACATCAGCCAGAGGACTGGGCTCTTTTGTTCACAGCTGACACATATTTCCAAATAACAAACATCACAAAATCACATGTATTGAATACTCATATATGAGGTGCTAAAATTGCAGAGTCCCTGCCCTCAGGGAGCTTACATGCTAATAGATACCAAACTGACAATCGGCACCAATTACCACCCCTTTTTATTTCTCTTCTTTTTTTGTAGAGCGGTATCCATGTGATGGCGGTGGTACTGAGAGGGTAGATTCTACACCTCACTTTTACTTAACAGGAAAAAGCCGAATGCGAAGGTGAAATTGAAAACAGGTGCTGTAGGACAAAAGCAAGGGCTGGCAGGCCCAGATCCAAGGAGACGGGTCTGCGAAAGGCTCCCCGGTGGCCAGTGCAGAGCAGCAGACCATAAACACAGCTTAGAAGGAAGGAGTCGGCCAACAGCAGGAGTGGGGCATCTTCCTAAGCTGGCTGAACATGGTTAATACTTTATGACCTTGCAGTCATCAAACTGAGAACCTCCGCCTGTCTCTGATTTTTAAAAACAAGTTCCTAGTGTTTTTCCCTTCACAATCTTGCTTATGCTCTAAATTCACAAATACTATATATACTGTATATTTAACCTATAAAAGCACAGAAATACTTCCAGTCCAGTAATATTTTTTAAATACCACATACAGATTTCACTCCATCCATTAAATCACTGTTGGCGGGATTTTATTTCTTTATCCTTGTGAACTGTTAAAACTTATACTATGCTCACCTTACAGTGTTTAAAACTAGACCTTCCAAAGCCCTTTCACACATAGAATTTCATTGGAACCATGTTGAATCAGGACCCTGATAAAATAGATATTCACTTTGCGACACTGTTTATAATTTTTTTCCCAGTGCCATCTTGAAACTTTATTTCTGATAAAGGAAATACTTTTTCTCTTTGTTTCAGTGACAGTCCCCTAGGACTCCAAAGGACTCTTCTATTACAAAGAAGTTTTTGTTTCAAATTATATCATCTAAAAATTAACTTCAGTGTGCCCAAGCCAGTCAACGCTTGTTCACGTAGAGTGAAAGGACATTTTATAGCGACTTCTCTGTCACTAAAAAATTGGTCCACTGTGGGGCACTATTCTTAACTCTTAGAGAGATGCCAAAAGCATTACCAAAACAATGAGCCGTTCTCTCTCTCTTTCCCCTCAAAAAACGAGATCCTCCAAATGGGGAAAGAAGCCGGTGGTGAGTCAGATGAAAGCAGAATGGACTATAGATCAAGCCCCTCTGTTCCTCTGTTCAACTTCAGAGTGGATGAGAGGGTCTCCAAAATTTTATAGGGACCAGATTACACTCATCCACCTGATTAGGTACATAGAGGACTAAAATTAGAAGGCCTTGCTTGGTTAATCACCTCAGTCTGACACGGGCCTGATTTAGAAGGACCCAGTCCTCCAAGTCAAACCCGGAACGGACCCACTCAGGTATAGAACCTCATTTAGAAATAGTATTTTGCTTTCATCGACTTTATAAAAAGAATAGAGCTCCGGTAGCACCATATTCCAGTCCAGCCCAGAACTGAATAGGTCTTTGGGGTACAGGACCCTGCCAGCGTGCCCCTGCTCTCCATGAATCCTGATATCAGGCCACTGTAAAGAGCCTCTCAGTGGGTCTGGCAGATGTCATGGGTGTCTCTGGGAACTCTCGCAAGTCGTGGGAGGTGTGGATACCGACAGGGAGCCTCTTCATTGCCTGGTCTGCAGGGAGGGAAGGCGTGGCTGTGTGCTCTGAGCAGCTGCAACAGCACAACAAAGCCCCTTCTAGCTGTCCCTGGGGTGAGGCTGACAGCAGCACACCCCTACATGTATTTTTAGATAGAACTTCCTCAATGGCATAATGAGGTTCGTCTTTAAAAAGGAAATCACCCAGGGCAGTACAACTCCCCTGATGAATCTGGGCTGCGTTGAAATGAAAAACATACGTGCACATTCTGAAAGTAGAAACCCAGGATTAGATAAAGCACAACTTGAGAGGGGAGAATAATTATTGGCTCTAGTAAAAAAAAAAAAAAAAGTATATAATTTAAAAAACTGCTCTGCTTCCATATATCTTAATTAACCAAGGGATGTTTTTAAAGAAATTCTAAGACAATTTAATCCTCCAATCTCTAGCTACTAAAGACATTTTATCTTGTGTCTATAAGACCTGGTGGCAGTAATGTTTTTATCGCCTGAACATAATGAAAAATACATTCTTTTTTAAAAAAATTTCTTCTTCTTTATGCTCTTATCTCAGACACCTTTAGGGAATTAAATAGTTGGCTTAAAAATACGTATAATAATACAATTAGGTTCAGAGACTACCTAAATCAAGTCTCTACATTCTACTTTTCTGTGTTTAAAAAATAATGAAATAGTGTTTTAATCAATGAATTCTAACCTGAACTAAAGTGTATGGTGACATTGACCAAGAATCTTTTGGCGCTTCTGCCTTTAACCACACCACCAAACCTTGTGTGTGTGTGTGTGTGTGTGTGTGTGTGTGTGTGTGTGTGTGTGTGTGTGTGCGCGCGTGTGTGTGCATGCGAGTGTGTATGTGTCTGTGATTCTATTTTTCTAAGTTATATTTTCTTCACTGATGCATACATTAAGCTAAAGGACTTGTTCTCTAATGAACTGCAGGGAACCTTTTCCAAAAAACCCCACAAGAGTTTAAAAGTTCTTTCAAATCGGCATTTAATAAGTGATATCAAAAATGAGGCCGGGTAGGTTTGGGGGAAGGTACAAAGCTTGCCTGGGTAACACAGCAGTATAACTCACGAAACACTCTGTAAGTCCTTGTCCTTGAAACAACAGTGTCATTATTACATGTAAAAGAGACTAGTGTGTTTATTCTCAGGTGTTTTTGTTTGTTTGTTTTTTCAAATTCATTAAGGTGACATTGGTTAGTGAAATTATATAGGTTTCAAGCGTTCAGATTTTCTCTATTAAAAAAAAACCACATTATGTCACCTCTGAATAGCAACAGGGTCGCTGCCTTCAATTTATGTAACCATGCTCCAGGGGTTGTGTTCAGGCTCATCGCAAAGGCCTGCATTTTCACTTACAAGCAGTAGGCGATCCTGGCACGTCACTGGGACTGAGCAGATCTGTCAGGGCTGCTTCTGCACACCCTTCCTCGGATGATGGACATGCCTCCCCCACCTGGGAGGAGGCCTTCACGGCAACTTGTAGGCTCTCAGCTAAGAAGCAGGAAAACCAAAGTAAATTAAAAATGAATACATATATAATTTTTTTAATTTTTTTTAATCAAGACCAGGAGTTGGCAAACTGCATTTGGTCTGCGTCTATTTTTATATGGCCCAGGAACTAAAATTGGTTTTTACATTTTTAAAGAGTTGTTAAAATGCACACATGCGTGCATGCGCGCACATACACAAAGAAGAATGTGTCCCAGAAACTGTATGTGGTTGGCAAAGTCTAAAATATTTACTATCTGGACCTTTACAGAAAAAGCTTGCCAACCAGCAATCTACACTAATACTTTAAGCATCATTTCACAATAGAGAATTCAATTTAAAAAAACAAACTTGTATAAAAATATCTCAAGTGCAACTTTCAGTAAATTAGTATGCTAAAAATTTAATTAATTTAAATATATCAGGCATTAGGATTTTAAGACTTGCTACTCCGAAATATAAGCTACTCTTAAAAGAGTATTTCCCCTAAACACGCCTCAAAAAAACAGAAATTCCCACTCCTCATCCTAGACCTGCTGGATCAGCTGCTCCAGGGGAGGAAATGGGGTTTGCACTTTTAACAAGCACCAAAGGCTACTCTTAGGATCTAGTAAGATTGAGAAGCACCACACCAATCAAGTGAATTGTTTTATTTACAAAAAAAAGACTTCAACTAGCATGTGGAATTGTATCATTTTGAGGACCCTATAGATATTCCTAAAACCCTCCAATGATTTAATTCAGCGAATTGAGCACGTATTTTCTTCTAGGTGGTAATGGGCATCTGATAGCTAGTTAAGGGTGAGTTTTACGGACTAAAGGAGGAAAGAGACACAGACAACTACAGGGCAGCACAGGTTTGGCGCTACATTCTCTCATCCAGGTATTAGAGTGTTATAAAACGCTCCCGGAGCTCAGAGAAGCAGGACGTGTGCATTAGTTCTTAAAGGAAAGGAACACTGAAGGATGAATGGAATTCAAGAGGAAGAAACAGGAGAGAAGAAAGGAGGGAAGAAAAGCCGTGTGGCAGAGCAAAGACCTAGGGCGACGATTCAGGGAGCATGACTAAACTGTCCTCGTTTCCGAAGATAATCCCCACACCTTGATAAGAATCCCTGCTAAATCTCTGTCTGGTCATTGATGGTCGGGGACTGGTGTGCATTATCCAGTCTGTGGCTCAGGCAGAGCCTCAATGGCCCTGGGTTCTCTTGAGCAGCTGGGTCCACTTGCTGTTCCCCAACCTCCATCCCACCGTGGGCCAAAGGCATGAAAGCAAATGGACTTACAACTGGGCATTAGTGACAGTTTTGGTGGGGGGAGGAAGTGAAAGCCACCGGGTAAAACTGGGAATAGGTGACTTTTTCAATAAAGACATCATCAAAGATAACGAGGGGGTCACCAGTTCTTCTCAACCCATTTGGAAATCCTTTTGGCTTTATTTCTAAGGTTTATCTTGCATCTGTCCACTTCTTTCTACTTCCACTGTCAATAGTCTGGTCTAGACCAAGGCCCCAGCATCTCTCATCTCAGCTTCTGTAATTACTTCCTAACAGTCTCTGGGAAAACTAGTCTCCTTTTGATCTGTTCTCCATTCAGCAGCCACTGTTCTTTTCAAGACAAAACTAAGATCATGTCATAGCCGTGATTAAAAGCTTCCAATAGTGTTCCAACAATTTTGAAGGTTTTTTTTTTTTTTAAAATCATGGCCTACGAAGATGTGGTCCCTGCCCACCTCCCAGCAGTCTCTCCTGACTCCTGCCAGCCTGGCTTTCCTTCTTTCCTTCACGTTTGTTCCAGATACAGGGACTTTGCACTCCCTTTCTCTCTGCCCAGGAATGTCCTTCCCCAGATATCCACAGAGATGGCTTTTTCTGTCTTTCAATTCTCATCCCAAAAACTAATCTCCTCTGAGAGGTCTTCCCTGACCTACCTAAAGCAAAGCCTTCACCTCATTCCAACCTTATAAACTTAGTTTCTTGTGACCTTCTGAAATGGTCTTGCTTCCTGGTGTATTGTCTGTCTTCCTCCACTGGAAGCTTTTATGAAAGCATCACTGTTTCCTTAGCACCAACCACAGTGCACACAGTAGATGCTCAATAAATATTTGACGAATGAATGAATGAATGAATGAATGAATGAATGAATCCATCCCCAGGTCCCACTTCAGACCACCTCTATGCCCTTCTGAAGACCTCAGCTTCTTCAACTGTGAAATTAAGATGGTAGATTCCATGACTTCTTAATTCTCTTCCAGCTAATGTTCTGAGAGGCTAAGCCAGAGCTTAGAATCAGATAATAAATATTTTAGGCTTTGTGGATCATACCGTCTCTGTTGCTACTATTCATCTTTGCCGTTGTAGCAAGAAAGCAGCCATATATGATAATGTAAACAAGCAAGTGTGGCTGTGTTCCAACAAAACTGTATTTACAAAAACAGGCAGTGGGACGCCTTTAGGCTGTGGTCTGCAATTTACCAGCCCTTGTTCTGAACAACAGCATTCCCTGCCGCTCTCTCAGGTGGTGGCTGTTTTATCTCCCAAACCCTTTGTCCCTATTGTTACTTCCAGGGTGTTAGCCCCATTTTCCCCCTTGAATCTTTTCCCCTTAAAGTTCATGCCATCAGATTATACCACTCACTACCCCTCCTTGTTGTCATTCATCTACAGGCTCCTTGAACAATTTACAGTTTAAGCACCTGGTGCAATTCACCCCTGTCCCCCATGTTACTCCTGTCACCATTCTCAGTAATTCCAGTTCTATGAACATAGACCTTCCAGTACCCTGGCCTCTCACCTCCTTGCCCTTCTCACCTTCTGTGATCTTGTCCTCCATCCTACCTCAGCCACCTCAACTCCCGCAGTTCTACACTCGATTTTCTCATTCTCAACACAGCAGTCAGAGGGTTCCTTTTAAAACACAAATCAAATTGCTCCTCTACTCAAAACTCTAGAATGCTTCCCATCTCACTTAGAATGAAATCCAAAGTCCTTACTTCTATCCAGGTAATCTGAGTCCTAGCTAACTCTGACTCATCACTGCCACTCTGCACCCCTCACTTCACTCTACCTGCACTCTGCCTGTCCTCCTTGCTGTTCCTCAAACAAATCTGACACTCACCTGCCCCGGGGCCTTTGCACCTGCTGTTCCCAATGTCTGGGACATTCTTTTCCCAGATATCTATTTGGCTTTCTCAGTTCCTTCATGTCTGATTACATATCACTATATCAAAGGGGTCTTCATCTGGCCACCCTATCTAAAATAGAACCTCTCCAACTCCATCACTCTCTATCCCCCATACCCTACTTATGTTTCTTCATAGCACTTGACATAACCTGATATATTTATTTTATATTTTGCTGTTTCTGGAATATAAATTCCAGGAGAGTCAGGACCTTGTCTTATTCTGCTGTATCCTCAGCACCAAGACCACAGTGCGTGGCTCATCGTAGGTACTCAATAAACATTTTCTGAATTTGTCAAACCAAATCCTGTCAAACCAACTGACCTTCTTTCAGTGCTGCTGCCAGTAATGAGGCTGCCTGGGGAGGCTCTCCTGGGTCAGGCTTAATGAGGAGGTGGGGCTCTAGATATACATCCTCAAATCCACTCAGTTCTCCAAGTTCAGCATAGATATGCAATTTCTCCTCCAAATATGTACAAATCTGTTGGTCTTGATTACTGAGTATTTCTATGAAACAGTATTTACCAGAAAAGGTTATCACATGCATATAACAACTAAAAGGAACAACCAAGTTTCAAGACAAAGATGTTGCTGATTAGCAAGCAGTATGCTCTCACAGGTAAAATACACGCTGTTGGGTGGGTCAAATCCAAGTTCAAGTCCTAACTGTTCCATTTAGTGACTGCAGCCTCCAGCTAATGACTCAATTCTCTGAGCTTCCATTGTGTTTTCTATAAGTAAGGTACTCAATACACGTCCACTTCCTTTCCCATGTCCCTAATTCCAGAAAAGCTGCAAAACTATTCTTCGTTCAGGCTGTTTTCTATTATGATTACACATTAAGCTCAGGAATGAAACTGAGGCGGCTCCTCCGTGATGAGGATACCCACGAGGGAAAACAATGCCAAGGCCTGAAACTGCTTGGGCTTCAGCCAGCCTTGGTCAAAACCAAACACACTGGTTTATGTTCTTCTTTCTAAACATCCAATTTCTTTGACCATCTTTGCATGCATCGTTTTCCTCTGATTTCAACATGTTCCAGGTTTCTTAGAGCTTAAAGGGACCTTAGCCAGCATCTAATACAGGGGGGTTCAGTCCTCTCTGCCTCAGAATCACCTGGGGAGAGTTTAAAACACTGATGTCTACACCCCGCCTCCCACATATTCTGAGTGAATTGGTTGAGGGTGGGGCCCAGGCATCAGAATTTTTAAAGACCTCCCCCACGTGACCCTAATGTCCAGCCGAGAAGAGAATTACCAAGCTAACCTAATTTCCTTACTTCTCAGGCTTGGAAACTGAGGACAGGAGCTTTTGTGTTCCTTGTTTACAGTCAAACTATGACCTGACAGTGCTGGGACCTAAAATTAAACCACTAGACAGCAGTTCTAATGCCAATACATTCCTGTTGTTTCATATGTGTGATATGTGGAATTTAAAAACTATATTTGCAATCACTAAGGATGAAGGAGGGAGACAGCCATCTTATTTGAGCACTTCCAGTTCTAGTGCTTTTTTTTTTTTTTGTGTGGCCTTACACTGCAGTATGGACTTAAATGAAGTAGTTGGGCCAAGTAGCCAGCAGGGAAATTCAGTACAATTTATAGCATCTTGTTTTTTTTTTTTTTTTTTTTTTTTGAGTGTGGTTAGCATGGGCCTTAAGTGCACAGAATGAGATTAATCATTCAATCCTAACTTCCCATTCATGACACCTGGGCTTTCTCAACATCCACAGGCAACACAACCAGGGAACCAGGGGTGCCTGCACTGTACCTTGGCATTGCTGAATTTTGGCCACTCTAGCTTCAGCTTTCCGCCTCTCTTCATCAGATTCACTTGTCCTTCCCCCTTCTTCTTCTGGGCAGCTTTAAAAGACAACAGTCAAGAGAGACAACTGAAACCGAATCCAAGTATTTTCAGGTTCATTAGAAAGACAGGAGAGCTTGGCAATAGAATTACTCAAAGAAAAATTCAGCATAAAGAGGATTCATCATGACCTCTGGCCAAGCAATTTGGTTTTCTTGAGTATAGAAAGGACCTTGCATAATATAACGTAGCTCTCAAAGTCAGCAGTAGAGGCTGACTCAGCTATTCCAACAAAAACACAGATGCAAACATGCTCTCATGTATACACATATACAATAACATTAGATACAACTAAAATAATAATTTGTGCTTTCTACTACATTTGGGTAGCTCTATTCTTAATGGGGTAGAGAGGTTGTAGGGGGTGCGAGCAGGGTGCCAGGTTGGGTGGGGTGCAGTAAAAACGAAGGAGTTTTACATAACATCGTTCAAAATCTAATGAATCAAATTACCATTAAAAATGACCACCCCCACTCTTCTACTCCCACTTATAAAAAGTTTCCTTGCACAATAATGAAGAGTAAATTGACTTAGAACACTTAGATCTACTAATCTAAAAACATTTATTGAATGATTCCTCAGAATTTAGTGTAGAGAGAAACAAGACATGGTCCCTGCCCTCAAGGAGCTTCCAATCTAGTAAACAAACATATATACATAAAAAATAACAGCTGCAAAGCAGTGTATGACAAGCACCAAATAAATGCGTTAGAGAGCAGGTGTTAAAGAATTTCATGTAAGAAAGAAACCACTGGAACTGGAGAGGTAGAGGTGAGCCATGAGCTGCACCAAGGATGCATTTTTCACTTAGGCAGAGGGCAGATGGGCAGTACATGCAGAGAGGGGAGGAGAACAAAGCTGCAGATGAGGGGCTACCACAGGCAGGTGCAGGGGAGCAGACCACTCTGGCTGAAGCAAAGTTTTCATGCAAAGGAGACAGTGAGAATATTTCCCCCAATTAAAGAAGTCCGTTTCCCAGATTCTGGACAGAAGGAAATCTTACCTCTCGACTGCCTGTTGAATCCGTCTCATCCAGTTATTTCGTTCCTCCTTGGAATTGGTATGAATTTCGTACATTTCAGGACCAGCAGATGAAGCACTGATCAGAAACATGCCTCTCTCCTCATTAGCAACTTCTCTAGCAATAAGCTTCTGAAGAGAAATAACGGATGGCTTCTGATCCTACATAAGATAGGAGGACATGCAGATGAAATGGCATGCTATCTAAAGTAAGGGTCTCACGAAACACATTAGCTAAGGAAAGCAACAGTAGTAGGCAGATCTTAGTATCACTTCAACCATTCCCAAAGAGCTGTGGAAGTTGGTGAGATCTCCAATGGAAACGGTATGGTGGAGAGTGAGAGAGGATGGAAAAAAATGAAATAGGAGAATGTTTGTCCTTAAGAATTGGTGGTTTAAAAGGACAACTTTCAAAAAGACAGAACAATCAGAGCGTTAATTATAAAACCCAAAATGCCATAATCAGGGGTGGAGGAGTTTTTCTAGAAGGGCACAAGATAGGAAATAGTATATCAAATATTACAAAGAGATTGAGAAGGATGGAAGACGTAAACAGTCCACTGGATTTGGCGGTTAACAGCAACACTGTTTCAATAAGGTGATGGGTACAGAGCCCCAAGCACCAAGAAGCGGACTATAAAAATGAAAAGCAGGAATGAGGAGGCAAGACTTTATTTAGATTCCCCAGGCATACCCAGTGTCTTCTGCTACTGTAGAGGTACAGCAACATAACTTTGATAGTTCTACCTGCACATTTCTCTTCTTCCCATCAACCAGGTGAGCCCTTGAAGGGCAGAGAGGGGTCAACTCATCTTCGTATGCCTACCACAGTGCTTTGCATAAAGTAGGCAAAAAATGTCTGTAGAACTAGATTTAGCTTAATTCTATCAGAGGAGAATAGGAAAAATGTCTGAAATCTGGCATCCAAGCCATGATTAAATCACCTCTTCTCCCAGCATTTACTGTGATTTGTCAATGTCCTATTCCAAGTCCTGGGGATTCAAAGATGAATAAGACACTGATAATAGCAATGTAGGTAGGAAGTTGTAGTTAAAAGAATAGTCAAAAGAGTGCCTGCAGGATGAACAGCTTTGGAGTAAATACAAAGAATCTTCTTTGGTTTGTGGCTTCTACCACTGATTATAGAGTCGGTTACAGGCCGTGGTTTTGCTATTCCCTCACGGACTGAGCGACGCCTGTATCCATAGCATGCCACTCCATCCCTCACTGCTGACGCCTTAGTGCTGGCTTTGCTTTCTCAGCATCACATAGCTCTACCACATCCGAATTGTGCGCAAGGCTTTTCCCAGAGTACCTCTTCATCCCATTCTTCTTAGAGCAGAAAGAGGGGGGCGGGGGGGACGGGAATGATGGGACAGATCACTGGTCTACCCAGTCCTGTGCTTGGCCTCTGAAAATGAAACCAAAAGCAGCCCGGTAGCAGTGCTTTTTGCAGACTGCCCTCTCTAGTTAGGGAGGGCTCCTGTTAATATCCCTTATTCGATTACAGATCAATGATCTAAGGCCTTATCTCCTTTCCTTCTTTCAATGCATAGTTTTAGATTCCTTAGTTTACAATGTACACAGCCTCTGTCTATAAAGAGGCAGAGTAAGTCTGAATTGCTTAAGACATAAGCAGGAGTGAAATTATTTGAACCAGTTGGTTTGGTTGCTGGAAGAGAAGTGGTGGGGTCAGATATTTTTTAAATGAAAAAATAAGTAAGTGGGTAGAAAGTGGCATTAATTAAATCACCATCAGACCAGGAAGCATGAGGGACATGTCCATCATTATTCATACTAATCACACAAGACATCCGAGATGATCGAGAATTCAAATTACATCTCTAGGAAGGGAGGAAATACGTCTACTTTGAGACAGATGTCAATAACTGATGGTGCAAAGGCTTAATCCAGACTGCAGAGATGTTTCATTTGTGTAACAGCATTTAAAAAACAGATTTGCCAACATTTAAAAACTGGGGGATTCCACTTTTTAAAAAAAATCTAGATTTCCTTGAAACCTATGTAATTTTACTAATCATTGTCATCCCAATAAATTTATTTTAAAAAAAGATTTCAAAAAAGTCTAGATTTCTGAGTTCTTGGGAAATGAAGGCTAGCAGTCCTGGGCCCATCTCCTCATTTATTTTTTCAAATTATTTTATTTGTTTTTGTTTATTTATTCAATGTATTGGGGTGACATTGGTTAGTAAAACTATATAGGTTTCAAGTGTACATTTCTATAGCATCTATATATTGCATTGTGTGTTCACTACCTAGAGTCAGTTCTCCTTTCATCACCACATATTTAACCCCCTTTATCCTCTTCTACCTCCCCCCTCCCCCTTACCCTCTGGTAAGCACTAAACTATTGTCTGTGTCTATGAGTTTTTATTTCTTTGTCTTGTTCCTTTGTTGCTTTCAGTTTTATATCCCACATGTGAGTGAAGTCATATGGTTCTTGACTTTTTTCTGTCTGACTTATTTCATTTAGCATGATAATCTCAAGATCCATCCATGTTGTTGCAAATGGCAGTATTTCATTCTTTCTTATTCTGAGTAATATTCCATTGTGTATATGTACCACATCGTTACTCATTTATCAAGGGACATTTTAGTTGTTTCCATGTCTTAGTCACTGTGAATAATGCTGCAATGAACATTGGGGTACATATATCTTTATGGATAATGTTTTCAAATTTTGGGGGTAGATACCCAAAAAAGGGATTGCTGGATCATATCGTAAGTCTATTCTTAATTGTTTGAGGAACCTCCATACTGTTTTCCATAGTGGCTGTACCAATTTACATTCCCACCAGCAGTGTGTGAGGGTTCCTTTTTCTCCATAGTCTCTTCGACACTTGTTATTGTTTGTCTTATTGATGACAGCCATTCTTACAGGTGTGAGGTGATATCCAGATCCTCATTTAAAAACAGGCTATTGTTGAATATCCTGCCCTCTTTGAGACGGGCATGCACTTGCCAGGTCACTCTACTTCCAACCACTATCGGTCCCTTGATGCCAAGCCCGCTCCAGTCCGCTCATTTACATTCCTATCCAATCCCTATAGCCATTGGAGTTGAAGACCTCTGTCACAGGGGAAGAAGAAAAGGAGCTGCTACCTTTAGTCCCATTGTTACAACATATTCATTTGTGATTCCACAAAGTGGCCACTTCTATCAGCGGGTAATTCTATTCATGATTCCACTGTGATAAAGGCCTTGAGGTCACTTCCTATTTTGAACTTGCAATTGCATATCTCCATGTTCACTTTGTCTTTTTAATGGTCCTTCACTTTGAATTACCTTCTTTGATATTCAAGACATCCATCCTCCTAGACTCAGTATTCCAGGATTTGGTAAACACATCTAGTTTTTCCTATTCATTTTGTAGGTTTGGAGTCTACTGCCATTTCCAGCTGATTCCTCTTTAAAAATAAACAAAATTATCTTGTAGGAAAGTTACTTTATCCTCTTGCTACTTTCAGGTGCTTATCTACTGGCCATTTCCAAATTCATCATGTCTTCTGTAACATGTAGCAAGCATTTACTTAAGAAGTTTTTCTAATAGCACGAGAGAGAGAATCTCACCGGTGGGTATTAGCATGAAGATCACCTTCTAAAATACTAAGGTGAGAACTAGGAAATCCAGGTATTTGTATGCTCCTAGCTAATACATCAATTCCCTCAGGATATTACCTATAAAATATTTATGGCACATGGGCTGTGACAACTAAATGTATGTGATAAAACTGAAAAGCATATGATTGAAAAGCTGGGTGCACTTGACTCCTTACAGATAACGCTCTCTTTTGCTTCCTGACATCAGCAAGGGCTTAGCAGGCCTTTACGAAGCCAGCTCCATGTCAGGCTAACATCTTTAGGAAACAGTATTAGCATCACCTTACTGTTGTCCATTGACAAACACTTTCTACCAAGAGGAGCTAAGCTGTGGCTGCCTTCAATCTGGCATTTGGTGGATTGTATTCCTAAAGTCCCATTTAATGGTAAATGTGGTCTATGGGTGGCACAGATAATTCTCCAAGAAGTCAGATAAGAGGGACAGATCCATATTTCAAGTCATACTGTAAGTTAATTGTCACAGCTTGATCTGAATCCATACGCTCTGTTGTCCTGGAAAACAAAATAGTTGTCTTTCTCCTGTGTCCAATTCTTGATCCATCAGCAGGTCATTTGGCCTATAATACCACCCAGGAAGCAGGAGTTGCTTCTCCTTCAGGTCTTTAGTTTTGAAGAAACCTTTATTTCTGTAAAGGTGTGGTGTAAGCTTATTTTCTCTTCCAACATGGCTCTCACTAACCCACAGGTCAAATTAAATGGTCCCATTTTCCCACTTGTTACTCTTGTGTTCTTTCAGAGCATCCCCAGATAACAGCAGAGAGGGGTTGTGGGATAAACCAGTAGGTTGTCATGAAATCTGCAATACATACAGTTCAATACATACAGTTCAAATGAATCAGGGACATGGGGACTTATTTAAGGTCTCTTGTAGCCTCTGGTGTAGCTTTGTGAAAGAATCTCTGACCTTTATACGACTTGGCATCAATATGCTGATAAGACACAATGTGCTGGACAGAGTGAAGAAGACTATTGGGCCAACCTGACAAGCAAGTATGGATGGACAGGTGAGGCACTGCTCCAGCCTTCCTCCCTAGATCCCATCACTGGGTAGGCATGCTTCATTGTTTTCTTTGAGCAGTAGTAACAGAAAATTCATTAAGCTTTGAATTTGAAAAACCAGGAACTGATGATATCTGCTAATGATACCTGGCTATCCTATCAGTCAGTGGATGATAAACATCAGTGTTTTAGAGAGCCACCATTATACTATTCACATGGGTATTGCATCTTAGATTCTTTCCTCTAACAGGGCCTGATGCTCGAAATGCTGACAAGGAGTAAACTGATGACTCCTTGTCATTAATTATCAATTGATCTTCCTTCTTTAAGTGAGTCATTTTGGACCACGAAATGTTGTGTAAGAAACGTTATACAATACTGGTTTTACCACCAATGTAAGTCTATCTCTGTGCTGGCAATGAGATTAGCATAACACGCTATAAAGATAAGTGTTATATGAATGGCCTTAGTAATTAGCAACCATTATAGTAGAAATAAGAAAGGATCTTCTTTAAACTTTAGATACCAGGATGGTGTTTTCATATTAGATAGAGGGAACATCATGACAGCAGTTAGTGGGGTTAGCAACAGGTACCTCAGGCACCCTCCAATGGGAACAGGCAGCAAGGTGCCAGAAGTGACCAGCACTAATGTTTGAGTTGCTGGGAAGTCAAGGGGGATGGTGTCTGGAGGAAAGGCCCTAAGATAGCCAGATGGTAGAGGGTCACTTGGTGGGAGTTAGGCAGTGCTTAAGGCAGTGCCTATCTTCTAACCAGTACCACAGCACTTCAATATTTTCACAGTTGGTTAAGCTACTAAACCAGGTGACTCACCTGTCTTGGCTTTGATAACTGAACACTTACCATGCTAGTTAAATCCAATTAGATGCTTGTTACTAAACACTGGAATCACTAATTATAATGGGTCTAGAACAGGGACATATTTTTGCCAATGACTATTTAATGTCAGTAGGACTTTCAGGCATTTTCCAAGGAAATGTGGAATTAAACCATTTAAAATATGCATCACATGGCCATATACTTACAACAGCTGCAAAGATGTATTTCTGGTCTTTTTCTTGTAAAAACAGCAGCACATCAGTTAGAAGCAGAGCTAGGATATCTTCAAAGAAAAAACATTACTAGTATTAATGAAGCAAACCACAGATCAAATGCTATTATTAAATATTCTGATTTCATGTTTGAAATTTAAATAAATTTGTTAAAAATAAAAAGGCTAAGATTTAGTCGAATTATGAAACTTTTATAAAAACACCTGTATTATGACAGCCACAGATTTATAGATAACTCAATAGGTAAGCTGTGTTTAATTGTGCATGTTTATTTGTGTAACTATAGGTATTACTAAACCTCCACGAAATTTAATGCTGTAGCTTTCAAAATAGAAGAAAAATATCCAACAAAAAAGAGGGTTCTAAGAAAATGGGGCAAACCCTTACATTTAGGGGGAAAAATGTGCTTAATTAAAAATGTTAGAGGGCAGTTCCTGCCTTGAATTATGTATACAAATCTACTATTTTGTTCCATCTAGATCTGAGGGAAGTTTGAGACCCTATACCCCCTTACAAATTGTTCACAAGAACCTATCTTCACTATACACTAAAAATTCTGACACAACGTTACCAAACTGTTGATTCTGCAAAATGGATAAACAGCAAATGACCTGGAGCATAGGATCTATTACAAATTGTGGTTAACATTTCAGTTTGGTGAATATTCTAATTGTCATTAACGTATAATTGCAACATTGCAAGTTGCTGTCAACAAATCCCATTTCGGTCATTAGCTGCTACCATCACCGAAACTTGATGATTATCCAATGGAATTAACAGCCTCTCATTGCTTACCTCAGGAAGTTATTCAGATGTATTAAAAACAAGGAGAGCATACCAGTGGTTCTTAACTCTGGCTGTGCAGCAGACTCACCTGGGAACTTGTAAGCATCCCTATATTTGAGCTTCATCCCCAGACCAATAAACTCAGAATTTCTGGGAGAAGACTTGAGCATAGGTACATTTTTTAAGCTCCAGGGGCGATTTTAATGTGTGGCCAGGGTAGAAAAAGCATGGCTCAGGCAAGGTGCTAGCTACATAATCAGCCCTTAAGAATGTGAATAAGACTCTAACCAGATTAACAGAGTCAAGTTAATGTCCATTAGCAAACAGTAGCACTGAGGAGGCATTTACAGCAAGGTAAATGTGTCTATTTATGCAGTATATTACTCAGTGACAAAGATGACTTTCAGATTTCATTTTTCCCCTCAATGGTCTGCCAGTCTCAGGCTGGCTTCTGGCTTGGCACACACCAGACTCTAAGGCGTGTAGGTGTACTGCCTTACTTTCAACCCACCACCTTTGCCAGATTAATATATCAGTGCCAACTATAAGCAGAATTCTTAGTTCCTTTGATGTAAACATTACAAACATGTGAATTCATAAAACACACATGGAGGCTTTGGCTTGGGGACATGACCTCCCACCAAATGTTTGTAGCATTGGCCATGTTTGCCTGTGGAAGTTCACAGTTCCATCCTACAGGAATGGTTCCACGGACGTAGGGTTTGGGTGTGTGCATGCGTCTCTGAGCCACTTTTATTTTGGAAATCTGTCCTCTGTTAAATGAATAACATGTGTGAAAGAAGAGACATAGTTACCTTTGAAACGGCCAGTAGCAGTTTTCCAAAAAACAAGGCCATCGTATAATAGAGTCCTTTCTTTGCTTATGAGTGCCTGCTTCCTAAACACATGGCCGTTCTTGAGTTTTGTGTATGTTTTGTTTTCGATCTTACTTAGGATCTCAAGCCATTTTTGTTCTTTTTCATATTCGCTGACTTTTAAATCCACTGCTGCAATCATGTCCTTAATTAAGCAAAGAGCTTTGCATAAGTCTTTATGTTCTTCAGTTCTTTCTGCATGGGAAAAAGAGAGAAAGAACACTATACAATAAACCAGAGTGCTAAGGAAGACAATTTTTTCCCTATAGTTTTACACACAATTAAATGTATAATCCCAATAGCAAAAAATCTCATAACAAAAATGCTGGGTTAAAATTCAAATACCATATTATCACTCTACACCCCTCCTCCCAAAAAGAACTGTGAAAATATTTAATTATAAAAGATTTACTTTTCAGATGTACTTCAGCTGAAACATTGTGAAAATAGGATTATCTGATTTCTAGGCACCAGTTTGACCTAGAACAGAAGGGATTGTGTTGCATATCCTAACTTAGGCCTTCCTTCTGCCTCCCCAGACACAGGTAATCAAATAACTCCACACACACAAATAAACCCCACAGGTTTCTCAGAACTTAATGGAGCCGTAGGCCCAAGTTGAAGTCCTTTCATAAAATGCAGCTATAGGGTGCCTTGCATGGGTCCCTTCCTCCATAAAAATAATGCTAAAATTATGTTTTACAACAGCATTAGCATGAAGTTGACTAAATTAATATTAAACACTTTTTAAACTAAAAAATTGGACCAAGGCACTGTGCCTAGTCAGCCATGCTCATGCCAACAGAACAGATAATCATCAATTCCGGTTATTACTCTTTAAAACACTGGCCATCTGCCCTTATCTCTGGGTTATTTTTAAAAATTCTGGAGGAGTTTCTGGAACAGCTAGCTTCCTAAAACTCCGGATGAAAGTGAAAGTAGCTATTTTCTATATTTGAGGATAAAAAAAAAAAACCTAGTTGATGTTTACTGAGGCAAATGAAACTGAAAGGGAAAGTTTCAGGAGGTTAGAAGGTGCTAGAAAGAGAGAAGAAAAAAGTTGGCAGAGAAAAGAAAAGGCTCTCTAGAGCCAAGAAATAAACACACAGAAATAGCAGTCAGTGGAATGAGAGTAAGCCCTCAACAAGTGTAAAGAATTCCAGGTTCTAAATGTCTTAAACAGGTATGAGGATTTTGTCAGAAAACCTCAAGGAACAGATCCAGACACACATTTTTAAAACGGAAGATTCTTTCTCACTGTCCATGAAAGAATACAGCTCACTACTTTACTATACCTATTGGCCATTAAACACCCCCTCACCAAAAAAAAAAGGTTCTTATTTCTAAAGAGTATATTTCATAAATAGGAAAGTTGAGTAGAGAATGAGTTACAATGTGACTTGGGTAAGGCCAAGGAAAGGCTCCAAGTGTTTTGACCTTCAGGGACAAATTACTGTCTTACAAGCTCCAAGTAGAGCCATATCAGCCTCACCTGGGAGTCTTTCAGAAATGCACACCTTTGTTGGGTTCCACGTCAGACCTACTGAATGAGAATCTGCACGTAAACAAAATTCTCAGGTAAAGGGTAATTCCCAATAAAGTCTGAGAAGCACTGACCACTGGTAAGGCCTGACCTAATGAGGTGGTGTCCTCAACCACTATGGCAGCTGTGCCTGAGGAGCCATAAGTCATACTTATCATTTCTGACACACAGTAGGCAACCACTGTTATTCATTCTACCGGGAAATTGGCATGGCATGGTTCTTGAAGTAGCATTAGCTGACCTAATACAATCTGACAAATTTTAGTCTTTGAGGTAGTGTATTAAACTTAAGAGAATATAAACACGAACAAACTGAAAGTCTTAATTTTGTATATTGTGCTTATATTTTATTTTTTGTTAAATTATAGGGAACAATAAAAATGGGACACAAGGAATAGAAGCCACCATTCCTGCCTGAACTTTGCTCTAAATGTTACTGAAAAATGGAAAGAATACAAGATATGACCAAAAAATACAGTGAATGTTTAAATTAAAAGAAAATTATTACAGTGAAAGACACATTGCCATTAATCCTCCTCAAAATACTACCCCTCGCTTCTAACACACTTATCCCACCATTCTTACCACTTTCTGAAGCAGTTCTGGAAGTTCTCCTTCCTGAGTGTCTTTAGTTGTGCTGTCATGGCTGCCTCGATATCCTGAATCATTTTAACTCTAAGGAAGAGCCATAAGTCTCACCGTCCCAGATCCAGTGAATAAGGTGGATGAGGACACACCGTAATGTTTTTATTTGACAGAAATTGCCATATACCAGAAGCAATGTGTGACATAGAGTGTTGTCATGATTAAGAATGATTTAGGGCACACTTGAAAACACACCTTCTCTCAACTGCAGCTCACACCCGACTGACAGCACAAACAAGTTAAAACTAGTCACACAAGGTTCGACATGCCATTTCCTGTATTGAAGATCCCTGCCTTTCCATTGGATGGCACACAGCAGCAGCATTCACGATATTTTTTTTTTATCACAATGGAAAGGCTCTGTGTCACACGTTGCTTCTGGTGTGGCAACTTCTGACAAATATAAACATTATGGGGCCAGCTGGGTGGTGCAGTTGGTTAAGAGTGCGAGGGTCGCTGGTTTGATTCCCACATGGGCCACTGAGCTGCGCCCTAGCTGAGCTGCTGCTGAGCTGGTGAGGGTGCCTGCTCTTAGCAGCAAGGTTGCCGGTTCAACTCCTGCATGGGATGGGGGCTGCACCCTCCCCTCCCGCCCCCCCGCAACTAGATTGAAAGCGATGACTGGACTTGGAGCTGAGCTTGCACCCACCACAACTAAGATTGAANCCGCAACTAGATTGAAAGCGATGACTGGACTTGGAGCTGAGCTTGCACCCACCACAACTAAGATTGAAGGACAACAACTTGACTTGGAGCTGATGGATCCTGGAAAACCACAGAGTTCCCCTTCCCCAATTCCCCAACACTGTTCCCTTCCCCAATTCCCCAGTAGAATCTCAAAAACAACAACAACAATCAACCATTACTGTGCACCCTCATCCACCTTATTCACCAGATCTGGCACTGTGCAACTTCTGGCTCTTCAAAGTCAAAATGACCATGAAAGGTAAACGTTTTGAATCAATTCAGGACAATGAGGCAGCCATGACTGTGCAACGAAAGACACTCATGAAAGAGGACTTCTAGAACTGCTTCAGAAAGTGGCAAGAAAGATGGGATAAGTGTGTTCAAAGCAAGGGGGAGTATTTTGAGGGGGATTAAAGGCAATGTGTCTTTTACTGTAATAAATGTTTTTATTTAAACATTCACCATATTGTTTGATCACACCTCTTCATGCATTTCTACTCACTTAGACTCTTTCCCCAAAATAGGATGTTAGAAGTTGACATTTTTTGAGCACACATCTAAGATCTCATTGATCTTATAGGGTACCTTAAGACATCATTTTCATTATTTTCAAGTCAACTGATCATAATAAAGATAATAAAAACAGCTCCCATTTATTGAGCACCCTGTTTATACCAGGCTCTGCACTGGGCACTTTCTGGGACAATCTCCCTTAATCCTAACAATTCCATAATATAAAGGTTATCATTCTCACTTGGTAGTGGAGAAAGCTGAGGCTCATTTAATTAAACTGTCCAACTAACAAGCAGCAGAGCCAAGTATTTACAATGGCAATGCAAGTTTACAATTCCAAACGCAAGCCCTTGTTAATATAACACAATACCCCCCAATAATAATAAACTCAAGATCAATAAGGGCCGGCCGAGTGGTGCATTGTTTAGGAGTTGGCTTGGGACGCCAGCTCTGAGCAGCAGGGCCCCGGTTCGGATCCCACATGAGGGCCAGTGACGTTGCGCCCTCTACAGCTAAGATGGTGAACAACAGCTCAATCTGGAGCTGGGCTGCCATGAGTCACCAGCGACAGTGTAGGCTGCAGCCCCTGCTGCAGTGGGCTGACATGAGCTACCGTGAGTGGCTGGCAGCCAGCGTGAGCAGCCAGCAGCTGGCATGAGCTGCCGTACAATGGCCAGCGAGTGACTGCCTCACCCGGGAAGAGCACAGTGATAATACCAACATGGGCCAGTGAAGCAATGTCTTCCACAACTAGACTGAAAAGCAAAAGGACAGCAACTTTTCTGTTCCCCTTCCCTGATTCCCCAACGCTGTTCTCCTTCCCCAATTCCCCAATAAAATCTTAAAAAAAAAAAGAAAAAACCAATAAGTAAGCTTGAGGAACAGGCATTTTTATTTATATATTCATTGCACTAATATGTTTGTTTATTGATAGCCTATTCTGTACCAGCCATTGCACTAGGCTTTGAAGATTCAGTTGGGAGCCAGACAGACACAGGTCTTCTAGATCCTACCAGGAGCCTGTAGTCCAGCTATGTGCCTTAAAAGCTCCTTAAAGAAAGCCCAGATGTTACTCCCCGAAACTTAATGAACTGACGGGTCAAAAATAGCTCCTTCATAAATCATTCTCTATCCAATAATTCATTGCTTGGGAGAGCTGACATTTGGTGCTAGGATCAATCACATATGTTTCATCAGACTACTGGGAAGGTGATAGGAAGACGAGGATGAAAAGGTGTTAAGAAGGTCTGGATATACGGAAATTGCAGAAGAGAAAGGCAGGGTCAGAGTATGAAGATGCCTGCTTGGTTTGGGCTGCTTGGAGGAATTCAGACTATTGGCCAAGCACATTACAAAAGATAATTTTTCAAAATGGATCCTAAGGCTTTAACAACTTTCCCATAAGAAAAATCTTTATGAATCAGAGGCCACAAGCATTTATAGCTCTTTACAACACCTCAGATATGTTTCAAACTAATGAAAGAGCAAATGTTTGTCCCAGAAGTTGTCACTCACCCTTCGTGTACTGCAATATCCTTTCCACCAAGACAGGGTACTTTGTGATGCGCTGAGTGACCAGCAGAATGCATTCTGGAATTCCTCGGCGTCGAGCCAAAAGATTACTATTGCGGAGCTTCAAAAATATAGATACATGTTTATATACACACTCCATCTGTATTTTATTTTTAGGTGTGAATTTCATACACAGAATCTACAATAGCATAATTCTATTCAGACACAACACAATATGCATTATCATTAATTAAAATGGTGCATTGTCATTAAATTGTATACTTTGCCATTCATTTCAATAGCCCAACTAGCCAAGATTTCAAGAAGTTTTAAGTTGCTCTGATGCATCTGCAGCTAATTCCAAAAGTGAGAGAATTCCAATACTTATAAGTGGTAAGAGTCGTGAACAGAAAATGTTTTGAAAAATACTCAGAAATCAAAGTTAGATTTTGAGTATGAGTTTGCAGTTAACTGTGTTTTTCCCACAGGTCTTTCTCTACATTTGTTACTATTCATCGTATCACTTAGGGTTGCCTCTAATCAGGGCAAATTTTTTCTAAAAGTTGCAGAGTATTCTTTTTCAAGTTCTCAATATACACGTATGTGGGAAGAAAAACAAAGAGGAGAATTGGGTGGCATTTTGTAAATGGTACATAAAAATTTAGAATCCATTAAACTATAAAAGGAAAATTTTCTTTAACAAATAAATTAGATGCCTCCCCCCAAAAAGAGATGGGGAACATTCAAATTAAAAGAGATTTAAAAGATGTAACCCCCATATATAGTTGTGAACCTTGGACAGATCCTGATTTAAGCAATCCAATTTTATGAGCTAATCAGGGAAATCTGAACACTGGCCAGCTGTTAGAAAATACAGTGAAACCTTGGATTGCGAGTAACTTGGTTTGTGAGTGTTCCGCAAGACAAGCAAACATTTCTAATACATTTTAACGTGATAAACGAGCGAAGCCTTGCAATACAAGTAGTTATTTCCGGAACGAATTATGCTTGCTAACCAAGGTATTACTGTATTAAAAATTATTGTTAATTTATCTAAGTGTGCTGGTCATTGTAATTTTTTCAAGATATCATATTGTTTAGAGATACATACTACATATGAAATGATATGTATCATGGATTTACTTCAAACTAATCCATGAGATAAATTCTATCTTTATTTTTACTAAAGAGACTTTCTATCTTTGCCACAAACCTATTAGTCCTTCCTTCTCCTTTCCCTGAAAAACAGCACCAGATGTGAGACTTGCTTAGATCATGTAAGAAACAAGCATCAACTACTTCCCCATGACGGTTTACCACTTCGTAATAGAATTTTACAATACTTGCCTTAATAAAATTCTGAAACTTTTTATTCTGCTGGAGTTCTTTAAAGAGGCTAACAGCTTCTTTGTGATGGCTACAGAATTCTCCATATATTTTCTTCATTTTATTTGCATTTTCTTCTGAAAACTGAGAATAACATTTCAATGATGGCTTATAAATTTAGTCTGTTTTAGACACTAAAAAGAAAATGCAATTTCCATATATTTCAGTACATCCTTTACAAATAAAAGAATAAACATCAGGGTTTTCAAAGCTCAATGGTGATGAGCATATGTTAAAGTAATTGTCTACTTATTAATCTACAAACAGACAATAATATTGGCATGTTCTGTTTATCTGTTAATGGACCTGCTTCTTAGTAATATTAGAATATTTTATAAAAGCAGTTCATGTTACTTTTTGGTGTTTTCATGGCATATGAGCAAATAAACTATTTACATGACAAAAAAAAAAGAATAAACATCACGGAACTTCTGAACACAATCACTTCTCTCCCCTAAACACTTTTTAAATTAAAATAAAAGGAAGTAGTCAAGATGTAAAGGGAAGACATCGACCTAGTATGCTCATGTTATATTGACTAATTCAATTATCAAATAGCCAAATGAAAGACATTTTATATATTTTATTATTATTATTTTAGCGTTTGTGCAACTTCATGATTTCAATTTATAGTTTTTAATACTTTCATAGATTGAAGGAAGGGTTATGTGGAAACATTTGGGGGTCCTCAGTAAGGGTCCTCTCACTGGTTGACATCACACTGGCTAACTGTGTAATGGATCATTTCCATGGACTCAGTCCTCAGTTGGGAATTTGATTTTTGTCAGTGCATCACAAATGGGCCAAGAGGCAGGTAACCAAGATAAAAGAGAAAGGTGAATCACCAGGATGCCAATTTATTAACTGATGCAGAGCTGTAGAGATGTGAGATGGATATTTCAATAAGCTTCAGCTGTAGAAAAATCTCTCTCTCCCAGGTATGAACTCTAGGGCTCTAATGATAATAAATCTGGCTCACTCCAGTGTTTGTTTTGGAGATGTTGGTAAGACTATCATGGGCCCATTGAAGGGGCCCCATTACTGGAGAGCCATCACAATAAGAAGTCTACGTAGCATTTTTATAAGGGGGTGTATTTATGGCTGTGACTCCTGGTGGAGGTGGCAATAGGGTCAAGGATAATCCAGCCTAGTGACACACAGAGGAGCCAGTTACTGGCTGTTAAAAGCTCTCAGGGATCAGTCCTACAAAACAACATCAAAGAAAAGAAAACCAACCAAATCCATCTGTCAATCAGAACGAAATCAATTTCAGTTCTCTACAGGCTTTTAACGCGGCAGAGAGTCTACAAACGTTTAGGTTTCATAGCTTAGGGCCTTGAAATCTTTCTTACCTGTTGTACTAGAATATCTCCAATTCGGTTGATGATGAAATTCTTGTCATTGTCAGCACAGGATTCCTGTCTTCGCTCCTTCATGCTATAGAAGAAATGCCTATGAATTTCAAGTAACTCATCTAAACAGGGGAAGATTTTATCCACGGTGCTGTGGTCAAGCTGCAGCTCCTCTTTCATTCCTTTCCTGAAGATCTCAGACATGATGAACAGGGTCTGAATATGATGCATTTCTGTTTGCATTAGCTCTGAAACAGGTGAGCAGAAACAGGCTTTAAATACCAGTATCCCTACTGACTTAAGTTAGCAGATGAACACGATAGGTTACATAAATAAAAAGAGGGAACATTTAGAAATAACTTTCTTCCACCATAAAAGTCAGCATTGATTAAACATTTAATGTAAGCTCAAGTTATTGGTCTATATTTTTTTCCAGATAAGAGGATACATGTAAGTCCAATATATAAGAATCCAATGTTATCAAAAACTCGCATAATATAAAGCTAGCATCTTTAAGTATCTTCAGCTAGAAACCAGGTCTTATTCTCTCCTGAATGCTCTATAAAGTATAACTTAGTTTGCCTGTTTTCTTTCATTTTTCTTTTTTTTTATTGAGTAGGAGCACAAATTAATTTGGCAAATTAAATTGAGTTAAATATAATCAAGTTCCTCAAAGAGGACAATAGTAGGTCCTTTCTATTCCTGTATCTGTCTCCAACATTCCACTTTCTCCAGGGGAGGACAGCACATCATGATCAACGGACATCATCGAGAAAGTGAAAAGACAGTTCATAGAATGGGAGAAAATATTTGCAAATCATATATCTGATAAGGGACTCATGTTCAGAATATATAAAGTGCTCCTATAACTCAAGAATAAAAAAAAAACCCACTTCAAAAATAGGTAAAAGATTTGAATAGATGTTTCTCCAAACAGATATTCAAATGGCCAAGAAGCACATGAAAAGACGTTCAACTAGCCATCAGGGAAAGGGAAATCAAAACCACAGTGAGATACTACTTCGCACATACTAGGATAATTGTAATAAAAAAGATAGGCAATAAGGAAGTGTTGGTGAGGATGTAGGAAAATTGGAACCCTCATACAATGCTAACAGGAATGTAAAATGGTGCACTGGCTTTGGAAATTAGCCTGGCAGTTCCTCAAAAGGGTAAACAAAGTTACCACATGACTGGAAAAGTAGAAACAACCCCAACTAATGATCACCTGATGATTAGATGAACAGAATGCAGTATATTTATATGATAAAATACTATTTAGCCATATGAATGAATCTTGAAAACATGATGTTAAGTGAAAGAAGCCAGGGACAAAAGATCACATATCGACATATTGTACAATTCCATTTATGTGAAATGTCCAGAATAGGCAAATCCATAGAGACAAAAAGTAGGTTAGTGTTTGCCAGAGGCTAAGTGGGAGGGGAAATGGGAAATGATAGTAATGGGCACAGAGTTTCTTTTTGGAGTGATGAAAATGTTCTGGAATTACATAGTAGTTGATGGTTACACAACTTTGTGACTATATTAAAAACCATTAAATTCACTGTAAAGGGGTGAATCTTATGGTATGTGAATTAACTCTCAATGTTAAAAATGCATCATAAAATAAAATAATAATTTACAATTTGTGGGAGCATTGAAAGTTCTAGATTAGTATTTCCAAACTCACACATTTGGAGAAAGAATCTAAAATATCAGCCATGGAAGGTAAACAAATTGAATTGCAGCTTTGTTTATTATTTTATCATAAATAAAAATTTTTAAATTGGGAACCCACTAACTTTTAATTATTATTGTTTACCCTGTTTTAATGCCTACTCTATACTAAACATATACCCATATCATCTTATTTAATCTTTTAATCCATTATAATAAAAAAAATAAGAATGATTTCCCTCATCTTTACAAGAGAGACAATAAATAAGAAAGGTGAAGAATTTCCCCAGAACCCAAGCCTTTCTGACACAAAAGGCCATGTAGTGAACTACACTACATGATAATTCATCCCAAATGGGTTAGATTATTTTTAATATATGAAATCAAGAGGTAAATGAAGAAAAATTACAGTACAATATAAATTATATGAGAAATGCTAAAGGGAAATTGGCTAATTCCTTTCTGTAACTCCCACCAATACAGCTCTGGACAGCTTTCAAAGCATGCTCACATATCATCTCACCTGACCTGCATAACCACCACCTGACTCAGGTGAGAAGGGGTCTTCATTGACAATGGACTTTTTGGTTCATACCTGCATACAGGCATACCTTGTTTTACTGTGCTTGATTTTCTTTCATAGATATTGTGGGGTTGTTTGCAAATCGAAGGCAAGACCCTTCCGTCAGCAAAAAGATCACAACTCACTTTATTGCCACACTTGCTGTATTGTGGTGGTGTGAAACCGAACCGGAACTATCTCCAAGGTCTGCCCGTCCACAGGATCAGTGAACTAAGAGCTAGTCTCATCTTCCAAATAAGGTACCTTCTCAGAACCACTTTTTAACATCAACTTTGTACCTGAACATTTTCTAAACTTCATTTTTTCCTAACTCGTGTATAATTTAACTTCCCCTAATTCAGATTGCCTCCATTCCAAAAGGCATGAAATAGTAAAATGTCACCAGAGTTGCACTCCATGTTCAGGACTGCAGCACACATTCACGTATTGCTAACCCAGGTGCTGCCAGTCCCACTGCAGTCTATGTGAATGGCGCCTTCTGGTGTGTGTGGGCTAACCACAGGACCACATATATAGCAGCCCTCTCCATACTACATTAAAACATATGAAATTTTACTGTGATTCTTTTTTTTTTAATTGGGGTACAGTGTGTTTTTCCAGGACCCATCAGCTCCAAGTAGTTGTTTCAATCTAGTTGTGGAGGGTGCATCTCAGTAGCCCGTGTGAGGATCGAACCGGCAACCTTGGTGCCATGAGCCTGTACTCTAGCCAACTGAGCTAACCAGCCGCCCCTTCCTGTGATTCTTATAATAGCAGAGGTAAAAGAGTATAGGCCATTGCTGAGTAAACTTCAAAAGGGTCTGAGAAATAAACTTGGCTTTGTACCAGGTACATATAATGCCTCATAACATTTTAAACCTGAGTATCATTATCAGCATTTTACAAATGGAGAAACTGAGATCCAGGTGAGTTAAATAATTTGTCTGCGATCAAGTAACTAGAAAATGGTAGAACTGGAATTTGAACCCAGTTCCGAATGGTTGCAAATTCCAGGCACTTTTCTCTACACCACACTGATTCAGCCCAAGGAGCATATGAAAAGCTTACCAAAAATGACATCCTGTCTTTTGATGACATCTTTCTCCTGCCTGCTACAAAATGAGGGGTCCACCACAAGACTCCACGATTCTGCTTCAAACTCCTGGGCATCACTGCTGAGGTCACTCCACAGAGAAGAATCCACAACATCTAATGTGTTTTTAGAAAAGAAAAGTCAGAAATGGAGTAACATGCGTAACACAAACAGACCTTTATAAGTCCCCATATTTATGGATTCATCACACTAATACACGTGCTATGAACGTAGAAGAAATTAATCCAAAATACTGTTGCTGTAGCATTAAAACATCTGAAAACCAAACTGGTAAAATGGCACAAATCAAGGTTGCTCTCATAAAAGCAAAGAAGTATCAGATATTAATACAGTGATTGTGTATATACCAAAAAAAAAAAAGGGCATTTGAAGATGCTTTTGTTTGTTTTGGCTTGCTCTACTTTAGTTTTACTTTTGGTAACTTCAGAGTCCACAATATGCTTACAGAATCTCAAACACCCTGATTTCTTTTGCCTCAGGTTATTTTGCACTATTTACTCAAATCTGAATTTTATACTTGTCCATTTGATTTGTTCTTTCCCTGCCTTGCTGTCCTTAATATAAACATGAAGCAGGGTGTAAAGATTCGAGTCACATGTGAGTACAGATTTTCTGACAGAATTTGACCACACACACACATACACACACACCCTTCAGAAAATTAAATTCTATTGGTCCAAGAGACATTCCTGAGAGAGATTATATTATAGCTCAAGCAGTAAAGATGACAATGACAAAGGGTTACTATCCAAAATTTATAAAGCACTCATACAACTTAACACCAAAAAACCCCCAAAGAATCCAATAAAAAAATGGGCAGAGGACCTGAACAGATATTTCTCCAAAGAGGACATACAGACGGCCAACAGACATATGAAAAGATGCTCAACATCACTAATCATCATAGAGATGCAAATTAAAATCACAGTGAGATTTTTTTCACACCTATCAGAATGGCTATTATCAATAAATGAACAAACGATAAGTGTTGGCAAGGATGTAGAGAAAAGGGAACCCTTGTGCACTGTTGGTGAGATTGCAAACTGGTGCAGCCACTATGGAAAACAGTATGGTGTTTCCTCAAAAAATTAAAAACAGAACTACCTTATGACCTAGCAATTCCACTCCTGGGTATATTTATCCAAAGAAATCCAAAACACTAATTCAAAAATATACATGCATCCCTATGTTCACTGCAGCACTATTTATAATAGCCAAGATATGGAAACAACATAAGTGCCCATCAACAGATGACTGGATAAAGAAGATGTGGTACATATATACAATGGAATATTACTCAGCCACAAAAAAAGAATGAAATTTTACCATTTGCAACAACATGGATGGACCTAAAGGGTATTAAGCTAAGTGAAATAATTCGCTCTGAGAAAGACAACTACCATATGATCTCACTTATATGTGGAATCTAAAGAACAAAATAAATGAACAAACAAAACAGAAACAGACTCACAGAGAACAAACTGATGATTGCCATCTAGGAGGGCAGGGAGAAAAAGGTAAAGGAATTAAGAAGTACAAATCTCAGTTACAAAATAGTCATGGGGATGTAATGTACAGCATAGGAAATATAGTCAATAATATCATAATAACTATGTATAGACTACTGGGTTGTCAGAAAAGTCATGAAGTATTTTTTCTATGTTTTTCGTTGCAAAAATTTGTCATGACTTTTCTGACAACCCATAGTTAGGGGGAATTACTTCATAAATTATATAAATGTCTAGCCACTATGCTGTACACCTGAAACTACTATAAAATAATATTGAATGCCAATGTAATTAAAAAATAAAAGTAAAAATTAAGTGTTTAAGGATTTTAAAGAAAATAAACATAAAAAAAGCTGACATGACAATTAAGTTTAAAATAAAAGAAACAGATTCCTGTAGCACAGTCCACTCCTTCTCTTGTTACTACTCTCCTTTCATTCAGTTTTCTTTCACTTATTGCTACAACTTGGATATGATAAGTAATTCCCCAGGTTTATGTTCTGTTCTACGAAATATGCTCTTTTGAAAAACTGCTTTTAGTCCCCTAGAAGTAGGAGGCAACAGATGAGGATAAATATCCCAGAGTTCTAAGCAAGTCCAGTCTTAACTAACTGAANTATATATATATATATATATATATATATATATATATATATATATATGTATAATCCTATTACGATTCATTATCAGCTGTAAAACTTTAAAAAAAACAACAACAAATATACTATGTCATTTTATTCATTATGTTTATGACATATATCCATTTAAAAATTACATCATATTTCTTTGGTTACTCTATGGAAATATGGAAGTCTTCTTTGGGGCTAAATTTTCTCTTTCTTTCTTTCTTTCTTTCTTTCTTTCTTTCTTTCTTTCTTTCTTTCTTTCTTTCTTTCTTTTTTTTACCAGAAGAACCTATACCAAAGAGACACCATGAAACAGAATTCTTTTAAAAAGAACATGTTTCAATCTCATATCCTTCAGAAAATATTCCTTTTGGCGAACATTCATAGAAACACAAGTACATACAACATGTCTCCTTCTCACCTTCCATTAAGAAAGAATCCGTGGAGGGAGATGAGCCCATGGACTGTAACAGCTCATCAGAATGAGACCTGCTTCTCCAGGCGTTCCCGTCACTCTCAGACTCCAGGGATGTCCCCGACCTCCTGAAGCTGCGGGGAGGAAGAGACGGAGGGAGAAGAGTTAGCCCCAGCAGCGGCTCTGAGATGCGAAAATATAAAACCACACAGCCTTACCTTTCCAGGGTGGTACCTGGAACACTTCTGGACAATGGATGGACCTGCCCTGTAGTCTCCTTCCTCCCAGTCGGCAATCCAATAGGCATGGAGGAAGAAGGGTGCAAGGAGAGACCTGGCAGTGGGATGTCTCTAAATGAAGAATCTGGAAATCAGAATGGATGCTTCATGTGTTTTCATAGAGGGCAGTAATTACAAGTAAAGGTAGTCACTTAAAAGCCAGAAAGCTAAACACTCGAATGGCAGCTTCTAATGTATCACACACCTAGCCTTGAAACCACCCTCCCTGCCACATCCTAACACCTGCTTCAAATGTCCCTTCCATTTCACACCCTGCTGATAGCTCTGCGGCAGGCCTGCTTCAGCATATCCACTTGGAGGCTGTTGGTCGCTGGGATTACACAAACAAGGAAATGGAATGGGGAAACATTGTCACAGCTTTCTCATAAACCACTGCTTGTACTCCTTAGAGCCAGCTTTAAATAGATGCAAGGTGTTATTAGCACTGTTACTAGAATGCATATTGTGTGTATACACAAGCATACGCACACACAGAGCATGTCAATGGATTGGAATGATGCTGGGAGTCTGTTTCTTTATGGCATGAGAATTTCAGGCAAATGAAACCTTCAAGCCAAGCAGAGCTGTTCTCTCTCACATACTGAAAACTAAATGGTGCTTTAATACCTGTCTGGTCAGTTCTAAAATGTTGGGCATAGATGAATTTACATTTGATGTGTACTACAAATGGCTCTCAGAAAATATGTCAGTCCTATAATATTATAGCTGTAGCTACCGAGCTTCTCAAGCACAAGGGGGGAAATACTTGCATGGAATTCCAGGATATTATAAAGAATTTTACACACACATGATTTAATTTTATTCTCAGGACTCTCAAGTAAACAGGAGGAGTAGATGATATTTTATCAATTCTAAGATGCTTTTTATTTTTACAATTAACCTTATGAAGTGGAGAAGCACCTTACAGCTATGGTAGAAGGGACTTCTGGTGTCACAGCAGGGGAGTAAATGATGTCACAGTTGTTACTGTCAGCACTAGCTCAACGCTGTGTAACATCACAATAAATCGCATGTCACCGTGAATCTGCATTCCCTCATTATCCCAATTCAAGTGGTTTTAAAAACATGGCTCACACTTTGTTACAGCTTTGAAATGAAAAGTAACTGCAAACTTAAAATGCCTGTCACCTGGAAAGCAATGCAATTTTAAAACAGAAGAAATTGCAAAGTCTTTCACAACAAATCAAAGGCTTTTCGAACATAGGAGATTGAAGGTGTTGACGGTTTTTGCATGCAATGTAAAGAACTGTCAAAGGCTGCCAATTATAGTAAAGAGAAATTGTTTAAACTTCAGCCATATATAATTCAAGAAAAAAAAACAAACAGAATCACCAACTTTACCAATATGCAAACTAAACTTGGATATGCCTTAAAATCTGTCATCCTAAAGAGGCTGATGAGATCACAGCCTCAAGCACAGCCAGTAAAAAGTACCAAGTTGCTATGACAATGGACAACAGGAAATGATAAGAATCTATAGATTTTGAACTTAAAGTTTTTTTCCCCTAAACTTTGTGATTCTTAAGAAGTATGTGGTGTGTATTTGTCTAGATGACAAATATGCTACTGCTAGGAAAACATAAAATTATGTACACTTAGTTAATGTAGTGTTTCTCTTTTCCCCCCAAAGGTTATTAAATCAGTAGTGCATATTACACTAGATTGCATCTTAGAATTGAGGCAATATCATAATACCTTCTCCATATAGTCCTCCCAATATAAAAGTTCGTATAGTATATATAGCACAAAGGTTATTAGGCTGCCATAGAAATTTATGCCATTCTTGACCTCTTTGTATAACTAAAAATTATGCCAACCACGTGTCATGGAAGAAGACATAATTCAGCAAATGAGAAAACAAAAGGAGGGGGTATTTTACATTGGAAAATGTGTGGTATGAAATTGAAAAAGTTCTTGTTTTCCACATCACTTACTTCCAAGGATGGTCTGCGATTTGTTCTTGTTATATTTCTCTTGGAATTTCTGGTAAAGAACATTAGAAACACATAAACTAAGATCAAAGCACCATTGGACTACAGTTAGAATGTCCACACAGTTAGAACACAGAGCAGGTTTCTTATCTGCATCATTTTCGTTGTGTTTTTTTTTATTTACTTCAAACAAAGAAGGAATTCAAAGCAAAAGACATTAAATGCAACAAAGAGCAAAATGTTATGATAATGAGATATGCAAGTTATAATGAAGGTGTGTCACATGAACACATCCCATAAATATCCCAGCTTTATTAAAAGCCTAGGGGAACCAGAAATCTCCAGCTCACATGTCCAGACTCAGGCTGAAAGGGCAGTTCCTATCAGGGCTGCCTTTCTCCTACTTGTTTCTTTCTACTCCTGGCTATTCCTCCTGCCTCCAACAACTTTGAGCATTGAAGCATCACCCTCAACTCTGTAATCTGACACAGAGTGTGTGGCCATTAACATGGAGGTTGGTAACGCCAAGTTTCCCTCTAAAGGGTCACCATGCTTACTCACACGCATTTCTGACATGACTTTAGAGTGGAGAAGAAAGCAATACAATGATAGATGCCGCATCTACTCAAGCCCACACTCAAACACAGAGAACATTCTTCTAGTCCAGTGGGCCTCACAGTGTATGGTCCTAGGACCAGCAACGTCATCTGAGAACTTGTTAGAAATGCAAATTCTCAGGCCCTACCCAGACCTACTGAATCAGAAATTATGGGTGTGAGGCCCAGAAATCTAACAGGTTCTGCAGGTGATTCTGATGTTTGTGAATTACTGCTTTAGACTTCATTTATATATGCTCAGGGTTTCCACTGATAAACCAAGCAGATTCCAACAGAAAGGCATTCCCACCCACACTGCATAACACAGGTGGCCAGACTGGCACTTTCCCTCTAATTCTGAGAGTACATAGTTAGGGGAATAACTATACACTTTGAGCATGTGTTATTTTATTGCTACAGTGATCATTTTGGAAGTAAATCTAGACAGTAATAAAAGAGCAAAAACCTAAACATAATATGAAGCAACCAAGCTAGATATAAACATGTAATATTCACAAGTGACAGCGATTACCTTGGTACATGGAGGTGCAGCGTCTTTACAACCCTTATGCACATTTGCATTACAGTCTGAAACAAAGGGAAAAGAGAGAAAAGCATCCATCTTATTTAAGTTACTCTGAAATAAGATTACAACATGCTTTTACTGGTCATTATAAAAATAGCACATACATATTAAGAACACTTAGAAAACTTAAGAAGGAAACAATATTTAAATCACATGTAGACCCACCATTCAAGCACAAGCACACTGTTAATATTTCAATTCCTTGGAGATATTGTTTCCCTTTTGCACAGGATCTTATCAGTTATGACACCTGGAATTATGCATGACATACACTTCCCTGTCTGCCTGGGAACTCATTTACTACTATGTGCCCTATATTGTAAGATATTTCTGACATCTGGCTGGTAGCAACTGTCTACTCCCAGTTAAAATGCCTATGAAAACAGAAAGGAAAACAAACAACAACTCTGGAAAAAAAAGAAAAACTGTATCATCCATCTCTGACAGGAATTCCTAGTCACTAGAGGTAGCCAAATTAAAATAGAAAAGTTAGTGGCTTGCCTATGTTTTACTTCATGAAGCAATGTGGCCTCATCTCACTGAACGAAGGAAGGGGAACCCTTTGCCTGCCCCTTTCTGACCAATGGCTCAGAGACACAAGTTGTTGTCACAGAAAACTGACCCTGTGTGGGGGCTACTTTCTGCCAGTCTGCTGTCTTCTTGCCCTCTCTCCCCTCCCACCTCTGCATCGCCCGCCACAACCACCCTGTCCCACCCACCCCTACATGCTCTGTGTAGCGAGAGGAACATGTGGCTTATCAGCAGCTACTTTAGAAAGAATTCTTCCAGAGGGGTAGAAGGTCCCATATAGGTCCATCAAAGCCACACTGGAAAAGTGCCCGTGACCCCTTGAGACCCGTGCAGGAAGCTGAGCCCAATCACCTCCCGCTGGAGGTCTGCGGAGGCATTTTAGGCAATGCCGCAGTGGCCAATGAGCGCAGCCCAGGCTAATTCATGAACTGGTCCCACTGGCAAACATGGAAATCGGACAGCTCTCTCCTCATTCCAGAATAAGCGAGTAAAAGGAAAAGGAAAAAAAGAAGCTATGAGTTACCACAGAACAAAGTTACACTGAAAATTCACAGGCAGAGTGAGCCAGAGTATTATTAAATCCAGAAATAGAGAAAAATTTAGATATTTGAAATGTATTCGTCCTAAGAGACACAAAATAGACATAAAATAGGACTAAAAGGCCAGGAAGGGAGAACAAGATGTGACAATAGGCCAACAGGATGACAGGAAAATGGAGCTTTGTGAAATGAGAAAAGACTGCAAAGGAACGGAAAAGGACAAGAAGAACTTAAACCGAAGTGAGAAGAATCCATGAGACAAAAATATCAAAGCAGCACTTTGAAATTAAACTTGAAAGATTCCCTCCAGGATGTGGAGAAAAGAAGGGTGTAATTATAAAATAGCAGATGTCATATGAAGAAGACAGATAACAGATATCACACTTCTCCAAGGAAGAAATCAGGACAATTAGGTCAGAAGCAATAGTCAAAGTGACAGCTGACAAGAACTTTTTTAAAGTTGAAAAAGAACCAAAAAAGGCAGATCAAAAGATCTCATTATGTTTCCTAGGAAAAATAATTAAATGACACCTACTCTATAGAAACATTCTGATAATACCCATATGATTCAAAAACTAAAAGTACTCAAGTAGAAAAAGCAGACAAAGCAGGTTACCAACAAAAGAATAAGGTCAGGCAGGTCCCCGATTTTTCTACTATACAGTAAATGCCCAGATAGAATAGACCAGTCCTGGCAGAGTATTCAGGGGAAAATGTTTGGCCTAAGAAGTTAGCTAGATAAATTGCTTTTCTTTTGTGAAAGAAGCAAAGATATACCCTTAGATACACAAGATTTCAGAAAAAAGTATCATTCTGATAACCTTTAAAATTTTTTTGACCTAAAATTGTATTCTAGCCTATTAAGAGCAGAATGAAAATTAAGGGTTCAGGAAAAAAATCAGATTTTTTTTTTAAAGCAAAAGTGAGCACTGAGGGCCGGCCGAATGGCACGTTGCTTAGGAGTTGGCTTGGTACGCCAGCTCTGAGCAGCAGGACCCCGGTTCGGATCCCACATGAGGACCAGTGACACTGCGCCCTCTATAGCTAAGATGGTGAACAACAGCTCGACCTGGAGCTGGGCTGCCATGAGTCGCCGGCGACGGCGTAGGCGGCAGTGGGACTGGCCGGCAGCGGGCGTGAGCTGCCGTGAGCCACTGTGAGCCCCCATGAGCGGCCATCCAAAGGCCGGCAACTGATCTGCCTCACCCAGGAAGAGCGCAATGATAACACCAACATGGGCCAGTGAAGCGACATCCTCCACAACTAGACTGAAGAACAAAAGGACAGCAACTTGTCTGTTCCCCTTCCCAGATTCCCCAATGCTGTTCCCCTCCCCCAATTCCCCAATTTAAAAAAAAAAAAGTGAGCACTGAAACCAGCTAAAGAATCATATCTAAAAAAATTGTAAGTAGAGACTCAGAGCTAAACACAAATATATTACTCTTGAAAAAGATATTTTTGAAAGATTATATATACAACATAAAAATAATAATTTAATGATGAATTTAGTATACTAATAGAGGCTAGGCAGAAAAAGGAAATAAAAGAATATTCAATTATAAGCCTTACACAGCCTTAAAGTTACCCTTAGCAAGGACAACCTTCTGCATGTGGGGTTTTAGGTCTGGTTTAGACACACTGGTCTGGGAGACATAATATCTCTGGGTAGTGCTGCCTACAGACAGGGTCCCTCTGAGCCAGTGTGACTGGGACACACTTGGTTTATTATCCCTGCAGTTCTTCCATATTCTCAAAAGGAGCCACGTGGGTGCTCCGCCCCTCGAGACAACTGAAAATATGGTAGAAGAAAGTGAAGGATAAAGATGTTAATCTGGGAAGAACAAGTCTAAATAGAGTATTTTAGAACAAAATATTGATGACTATACTTAGAAACAAAAAGGGGGAAACAACAAATGCCCAAGACCTGAGTTGAGAGGGCACTCAGTTAGGAAAAAGGAGACAATACAAGTGGTAAAACAGAAGAGCAGTGTGCCGTGGACAAGAGAACATTTAACTAAACGGACGGTCGACAGGAAGACAGGTGAGAGATCAGGGAGTCAGAATAACGAGCAGACTCTCAGACTTGACTAGCACGTGATGCCTGGTTTCTGTCAAAAGCAGGACTCCTGTTAAGTATGAGGACAGAGGCCAACACGCAGATGGTTAAGGCAATGTGGCCGGGATGAACATTAGAGCGCTGAGGGGCGATCACTCAGCTTGTCTTAAAATGAGGGACGAGAAAGGTGGCGGATGTGGCTGGGGGCACAACTGTAGGGACCCAGCCTTGTGAACAAGGAGAGAGCAACAACCTGTAAAACATACGCCATCGCACATATAGGCTGACTGCTGACATGCAGGCAAGGCAGAAGCAATCCATCAACAATGCTTACAGCAAGTTTTTAAAAACTTGACAAATTAAATCACATCTGAACTGCTGGATGCTACTTCAGCTCCATACAAGAGAGAAGTCAAGTCTTCAAGGAAATTGTGAAGTTCAAGCATGCACAGAGCTGGTGTCACTAAAGACAGTGTCACTGGTGAGAAGAAAACGCCATCGGCCTTCAATGCCATGTGCAGATTCTATTTTCATCAGATGGACAACTGTCGATACATTTCAGGTTTTCATTTAATCATCTTCTTGGAGTTTAAAGAGAAACTTCACGTGACGCCTTGCCCTGCTCTGCTCTTCCCTTGGTGCTCTCGTCCCACCCCCAAGCAGCCCTCTAATTCTGACCACCAACAAATACCATAAAATGTATTTCACCTTCCTGGGTCTGAGTTCTTTTGCTCTGAATGATTCTTTCACTCCACAAATATTTTATAGGTCCCTACTATGCACACTGTTCTCAGCACTGTGGATACAGCAGAGAAGAAAATTAACAGACAAAAATCCAGCCCTCATAAAATTTATATTCCCGTGAAAAAGACAAGAAAATCAATATTTAAAACATATAGTGTGTTAATGGCATTAAATCTTTGGGGGTTGGGGAGGAGGAGAAAAGGGGGGAAGACTGAGCCATGCATAGGATGGTCGGGAAAGGCCCGGCTGAGAAGGTGTCATCTGAACTGACCTGAAGGAGGTGAAGGGGCAAAGCATACAGCGATCGGAGGGAAGGGCGCTGCAGGCAGACGGGGCAGCCAGGAGAGGCCCTGGCGGGGCACGCCTGGCACAAACAGCAAAGATGACCTCGTGACTAGAGCAGAGGGAGTGAGACGGGGAGGAGAAGGCAGGACAGGACAGGTTGTGGGGGCCTCACAGTCATTGGCCGGGCATTGGCTTTTAGTTGGGGGATGACAGGAAGCCACCGGAGGATTTGGGACACAGGGATCTCTGCCTCACCAAGTTCACAGTGGCTGATGCTTTAAGAACAGACTTTAGGGGGTAAAAATGCAGGGAAACCAGTTAGCAACTATTGAAATGTTGGCTTTAGATCATGGTGATAACAGTGGCAAGAGTGAGAAGTAGCTGGCTTTTGTATACATTATAGAGCCGAAAAGCTCGCTGAAGAATTGAATGTAGGGAGAGAGAGAGAGACAAAGACTCCAAGATTTTTGGCACTACCACCTGGCAGGAATAATGGAGAAGCCATTAACTAAGCCGGTCAGGTTGTAGGTAGGCACAGGAGAGGGAGAGCAGAGTTCTATTTTGGACATGTGACATTCGAGACACTTTCTAGACACCCAATTGGAGATGTCAAGTTGGCAGTCAGGTCTGAGTTCTGGGAGACTATGACTTTTGGACATAAAATACTGACTCTACTCATCACGGGCCATTGCTTGGTAGGTAAATTGTTAAATCATATGCAGGCCACTGAAACAAAAGTCTACGTGCATATGCTTAGCAATGGGCCTCTCCTCAGGGATCTTCCTGTCTAGGGAGGAAAAGCACAAAGCCACACACACACACACACACACACACACACACACGAGGCCCGAGAACTTACTGGAACACTGGAACGACTCTTTCCCTAGGAGCGTTTTATCACAAACCAAACACTGTAGAACCCCAGAGAATGTCCCAGGGACAAACTGATGTCGACTCAGTTTCTCTTTGTCTTTGGCATCCTTGCTTTTTGTCTTCAGATAGAGCAGCAGCAGCAGCAAAGTGTGCAAAAATGAGAAAAGAGAAATGCTGAGAGCCAACTCTCTTACCGGAGTCATACAAACAGTCTCTTCATTTTCTATGAGCACATAAGTACTGCACAACGAGGAGTGCAATAACGTCAAATGTAATATTACCCGAGACGTAGCTGTCTCGGTGTGTCTAATCACTTGGACAATACTCCATAAGAAACATAGAGGCTTTCCAATATGTGCATGTAAAACGTGACGTAAGTGATTGTAAAGGGAAGGTAGAAACTACACTAATTGCTGAGACACTGCGCCATCTATGCTTTATAGATGATAAGCACAGAACCTCAATTACCTTTGATTTATTCCGAGGGCTAGTCATCCTATTCATGAGGAAGCTGAACGTTCGGCTCACTTTGTACTTTTCAGACTCTGATTTGGCAGGTATGATGTATTTATCCCATTCTTCTTCCGGAATTCTACAAAAAGAAATCTGTTATCATGGCTTATAGGGCTTAAAGAGGAAGCAAAATACAGCATATTTATATGTGTGTGCATGCATATACACACATACATACATATTTTAATACATATATTTTTATACATATAGCTATACATATATTTTATACAGATATTTACACATACATATTTTTTCAGGTTTTAATGGTTTATTCTATCTATGGTTTAATAGATAGAAACTATTAAATTTTATAGATGGATAGGTAGATAAAGCAACTATCTCACAATGTTAATAATTATAGAATCTAAGTGGTAAAAACAGGCATTCAGTATGTAATTCTTTCAACTTTTCTGTATACTTTAAAATTTTTCATAGTAAAATATTTGAGAAATAAAGGAAATTTAAGACTTATAATTTTACTCGGAAAACATTCATGTCCCTGTTTATTATGCTAATAGAATCTTCCACAGGCACAGAGAAGCCAAATAACCAACAACTGGATTTTATTTATTTTTGGAACATAGAGATAGTACTCAGCAGACACACATTTCCTTTGTCAATACTGCCTGAGAAACAGACTGTCTGCCTCTTGGTTCAGGCTCCCACACTCAAACAGGCTATTTGCAATCTGAGACGCTCTAGGTTGTACAGGAGAGAAGGCTGTGGATACTACCCACCCCCGCACCCCCACCAAATAAGAGGCAAGCTAGAGGTAATTTCACCCAATCCGTGAACACATGAACATCATTTATTTTCCTCTAATCCACATAATAATTCTTTAGAAAAAAACAAGTCCCAGCTATGAAAAGTTGTATTTCCTCTAGAGCTTTCTCTGATAGTCTTATATATCTAATATTATTAGAGAGAGAGAGAGAGAGAGAGAGAGAAGCATATATTAAAGATCAACCTAAATATCATGTCAAACCAGATAATACTTCTTCAGAATATTTCCAAAAAAAAATTTCATAACCAAAGTCCCTCCTACTTCTCATTTGTCAGCATAAGTGGCTAACACATTCATCTCCGGGGAATACTTTTGAAAAGCAAGCATATTATTGATATGCACCAAAATATGTATGATTACATCTCATGGAAATGAATTCAATGACAACTTTCTAGGATCTTCAGTTTTTCTCATGTGATCAATGACAGGCTTAGACTAAATTATTTCTAAGGGGCCTTCTCACACTTAAATATACTATGTACTTATCTGGCATGTAGTAAACAAAAATTTAAATTATTTAGCCTCTAAACTAGATAACTGAGAGTTCACAGCTATGAATACATTCAGAAAAAAATAATAAATAATGCCTTCAGAGCTGCCTATTGGACGAGCAGATCTAAAAACAGGGCAGTGTGTGTCCTGATTCTCGAATCTGCACAGTAAGTGAAATTGAGTTTGCTATTTAGAGAAAACAGTTGAAAAAGAAGGAAAGAAGGTGAGTAGAAGTGAATGTACCCTCAACTACTCAGAGCAATGAAAGGAACTCAGACCCTCTTACTTCTTTTACTTCCACAGCCACCTCCTTAGATAACTGACCAGTTAATATACTCTGTGAATTTCCATACCTCTGTGTCTTAAACATCCTAATTTGCAAAACTCATGGCATCATATTCAACAGGCTCACTTTGGGAAGGGGGAAAAACGCATTTGAGAACTTAGAAAGAATCGTCTCTGGAAGGCCTTTTGTGACCCCAGCAAGGGCCATTCAGTGTCTGAGAGAACAGTAGTATGGTGAGAAGACCTAAAGCTCAGAATCAAAGAATGGGAAGGTCAGTGTGGATTTTGAGCTCAAGAAGCTCTCCCCACTATTTCCCAGCAGGAACACAACTCTCTCTCAAAGGAAAGAAAATTCATCATTGTTTACTCAACTCTACTACTCCCAATTCCCCATGCTACAGAAGACTATATCAAGAACAATGTTTCAGTTTTGATGTAAAACCTATACATGCACCACAGCTTACCACGTATCCTACATTCTTCTACAAAATGACATCAAATCATACCACTTAATCTTTAAGCTCAAAGGCTGATAAATCTTTACATATGACAATGTAAACAAAAAAAAAATACTGAAACACTAAATATTAAAAACTCAGAATAACCATCCAACCTGGTAGAAATGTGAGTCATGATCCACTGTCATTTTATGAAAATGGGTAACAGTGTAACCTCTGGGTAAATGTAGAAGGCTGGCTGATTCCATGTTCTAAATCTAACTATGTGGTATTCACCTATAATAACAAGTAGGTACTTTAGAGAAGAACTGAGGAGGGGAAAATCCTCAACTGAGTTCACCACAGAATTTTAGCTTGCCGATTTATAAGCATTTGGAAAACATTAATTTAAACTCTTATCAACATCCCGGAACAAGAATTCTTAAGCTCTATTATAGTCAACTAGAAGACCAATGGAATCAACCAACATGAAGTTTTACAAGGTCCTTTCCTCAAAAATGCTCTTGGTATTACTTTTTCAGTAGGTAAGCAGATATTTAAAATATCTTAAGAACATGTATCCTCAATATCTTAATCCTTAACCTATTATATCTATAAACTATGTTTTCAAAAAACTGGGAATCTGTTAACAAAAAGTTCCCACTATCCGAATTGAAAATTGACACAGTGAGACTTTTTTGAACACTCAGATGCTCAAAATGCTCAGATGCTCAGATTTATTTTTTTTAATAAAAGGTAGCAGGATGTAGTAAATTTAAGGTAGACGGTGGCAATAAAGTACAAAGTCATGCCATACAATGTTTAAGAAGTTGGGATAGATGGAGTGTCTGCTCCTGCAGAAATGAGCCTGCAAGGTCTGGAGTGAGCCCCCCTTTTATCTGGCTGCATTTTTTCCAGAAACTAAGTGATTAATATAAATAAGAATTCCGATGTAGGTAGACTCTTGGGTAAATATGTACAACATGACCAAAGCAAAGCATCAGGTATGGCCCGGGCTCTACTGGCGTATCCAACAAGGTCTCAGGAATAGAACAGATGAGAGGAGAGAGCTACTCTACTAGATACACTAGGGGATGTGACTGGGAATGTATAGGATGTATATAGATCAAGGGAGACTAAAGAATAGAAAAAAAAAACAAACCCAGAAATGACAGGAAATGACGAACAAGGGAGAAAGGGACACTCCCTATGCATCTCATCCAAGTTAAAGCATTTTATTTTCTAATATTTAACCAATTATGACATTGGCTCTTCTAGTCTGAAATCCCTCTCCTAATGGGAAATATTTTTTATTTAAAATAAACTCTTGACAATCAGTCCATTACTTCTCCAGTGTTAAAAAGATAGCAGGGAGAAGACTGCTAATCAAAATGATGACCAGGATATGAATAAATTCCAGAATTAGTAAATCGATTAAATGAAGTAATACATGTAAGCAGCTTAAAACAGGACCGGGCACATCAAACACCCAATAATGGTCAGTTCCTGCTGCTCCTGCTCTCGGCATGGTCATGCTGTCATCTTCATCATCATCCTACTTTTAAAGGGCATTCTTTCCTCTGGTTTTCTCCTTTCAAAGCTTCTGTTCTAGTCCCCAAAAATACAGGCATAAACAAAAGGAGGCTTTTTCTTATTGATACTTTTATCCCAAGATTTGAAGCAAAATAGTACATCTTGATTTATATATAAAAAATTTTCAGAATTTTAGCATTAATATCACCAAAATTAAAACCATTTTCCTCTTTTTCACGTGGTCTCTTAAAGCCAAACATTTATGTCATTTCTGACCTAACCTCAGAGCTATTTCACATGAGCAATTGGTTACTCAAGGCCAACAGGACCCAACAATCTTTCCTGCTGACCAGTCAGCTTCCCAAACTTGACTCCAGCTACAGCTGTACTTTCCAGGGAAAAGAGAAGCTTAGGCATAAAGCTTTCAAATCTGCATATCAATCAGAAAACTGATAATGCTTAAAGTACTTTCTGCATCATCTACTCATTGTTTCTAACTTAACTCTTCTAAGCAGTACTCCATACAGACAGATGGTAGAGATGTTTCAGCACTTTCTAAAACTGACCGCCCTGGGGCCTGTTCCCACAATAAGAGCAGACAGATAGACCTAACCAGATCCTCATGCCTTTCTAAAGCAGGTGGTCCTCACACTGCTCCCCTTGGTGCGATATGTTAGAAGTGTTTGGCTTCGACAATAACCCAAAATAGAATACTCTGTCCCCAGTCCTGAGGACTGCTCATCTGGGGACTGAAAAGAGCAGCTGGCTGACCTATGTCGATACAGATCACAAAAGAAGCAAAGAATTCAGGCAGTCTCATTACATAGAAACCTCACAAACAATTAAACAAATATAAAAAATGATGTGTTCACATTTCCACAGATGGATTAAGCAGTCCCTCAGGAAATTTGGAACAGTTGAAATACCTTTTTTCTCCTGGTGGCTCCGGTAAGCTGTAAGCTCTTTGCTCTACAAGACATAGAACAATAAAATGAAAACTAAGGCAGACAAACTAGCAGTCATGTGTTAGTCTGAAATGCACACACTCAACCATATTTTTTCATTATATACACCACCAGTTACGAGAAAATAAGTCACTTTATATAGGTAGGGCACTGCTCTGGATATTTTTATCACTTTCCCTAGTTTGGAGACAATGGGGAAGAGACCAAAGCATGGTAACATTAAATGTTTTTATGAACTAAGTTAGCATCAGCAAAGGGCAGCAAACATTTTCAGAAGTGCAGGAAATCAGATCGATCTTTCTGGATATTTCTTGCCAGAGCTTCATCTCTTATTTGTAACATCAAGTCCCTAACATACAGAATCAGTAAATATCTTAACTGTTTTTTAAGCAAAGCTCAAAAGAAAAGTGTTGAAGCCCAGCCTAAAGAAGTGTCCATTTGCATATAGCTGCTATGCCTTTATAAAATCCTAGCAGCAGCCAGCCAGTTCAGAGATGTGCTTTGTGGCTCATGGGGCAGGGGGAACCACCTTTCCCATTGGACTTAAGGGGGAGGTAGAAGGGGCAGGTTCATGCAAGCAGCTTAGCACCATCTTGTTTCCAGAAGGAACTGAAGTACTTACTACAGGGATGGAGCAGAGACACTGATTTAGACAGTGAGAGAGACTGAAGGAGGGAACGGCCACTGTGGAGCACACCATCTACAGAGCAGGGACAAATCCTTTACCGTTACAATCCAGAAATATGAAGACACAAAACTAGGTTGCAAAGGCAGATGGGCCGGATATATCAAGGAGGGAAACTAACAAATACATATCGCCTGAAATGTGTAAATATCAATGTTGAACCTAATATTATCTTGTAAGTAACAGAAAATCTACTTTGGAGAATTTGAAGGCTTTATTTTATTGCCATTAAACGCTCTTCAAATTAAGTCATGGGCAGAAATCAGCATAGACTGAGATGCCAAGAGAATAAGATACTTGTCCATAATAATCGAGCTAATAAGATAATGGAACCAGACTCAGGCAACTGGACAAAGTTTAGTAGGATTCTGTCCATCAGTGCACAATAATTTTCAAAAGTACATTCACTTCACTCCTCAGATTCTTAAATGTAGAACACTTTTGTCTATCTTGGTGAGGTTATAATTATCATCTCAACATTGA